AAACCACACTCGCTCAAAATATTCAAGACAATCCGCCGTCGGGGCACAAGACGGGACAATAATATTCTCCAGGAGGTAGAGTTTGAAATGTTGTTCTCAAAAAAAGTCAGAAATTCGAGAAGAGACCATACACGGCATGTAATTCGATCGCGAGTCCCAACCACCGCCGTTGGATTTAAAAAAAAAAGACTTATTGAGATTTAAAAATTATTCTGAAAAAGGAGACTCTGAGACGCATAATAATCTTTCGAATTTTCAGGGAGTTTTGTTACAACAAGTAAGGTGTTTTTGGCTGCAAGATATTTCATGAAGGCAGAAAGTAACGGAAGTGATGGTTTATGCAGCATTTTAAAGACCCTTGCGCCCTTACTATTTTGCACTCTAAACAAACAAACTGAATCCCACCTGAAATACTGTTGGTCGCACGGGTGAGTCAGAAACTTTATGAGCGCGCCTGCCCGCACACTAACAAGCTGTATGTACGAAACTATTTTTTACATTGGATGATAAAGTGAAACCATTATTAAGACCTTTTGATTGCTAAACTTCTCAGTGGAAAACATGCAAATAAGTCGAATCAAAACTGTCATATTGGGGAAAGAATCTTGCAAATAAACCTACACTGCCGAATACAATACCATCACTTCTCAATGATCTGAGTGATTTTACTCTCTAAAATTACTCAGGAAACGTGTACTATATTTAAACTAAAATCACGCCCAAGGCTAAGATTTTGCCTTAGATATGCCCACAGTAAATGAGCTCTCTGTGCTTACGTCAACGACCGAAGTGAAAAGCCCATTAGCATGCCGTTATCATGATGGTTTGCCAAGACAACGCCATGACACCATCGAACAACCAACCCCATCGCCGAAAAACCGTTCATCCGCAGTGAGATATCCTTCAAGGCCATTTCAGAAAATCTTCTCGGGTCTTTCTAATAATTACGATTGCAGTACCACGCCGAGGAAACCCCTGAGTGAAACTGCGGGGGGAGAAGGTGTTTTTCTTGCACTTTGCGACGTGGAAACTGTTGATTTTCCTTTGCACTTTACACAATGAATCTTCTCAACATTGAGTCCGAAGAGACACCTGCTGTACCAAGTCTAATATCAATCAGAATTGGTGCAAAGTGAGAATGAAAGTCAGTAGCAAATTTAATCCTGGACCGTTGATCGATTAGTGCTTGACGGAACGTACTGTCTACGTGCTAAAAGCAACGTGCAGACGATGGTCAAAACTCTTGTCATCGCGAATTTTCTTGATTTTTTCTGCGCATGATTGATGGTGCTAATCAGTAATACGACCAATTTACCGTGTTATGCAGGTATCGAATAGTCAAATAGCGTGGGTTGGAGCGAAACAGGTCAAGCTGTGGTTGCCCGTACAGTTCTCGCTCAAATCTGCTCTGGGTTTGCGGAGTGTTACTCAGTGTCCAACTGGGGGGGGGGGGGGGGGGGGGGGGGGGGGTTATTGCCGTCCACCCACCCCCACCTCAAGCCCAGCAGAGGTCTGTCCCCCTATTTAAAATCTTGAATTGCACACAAACAACAGTGGTATTATCTGCCTTCAGTGCACCCCTGGTAAAAATGGTGTGCCCCCCATGCCCCTAGAAGTTTTAAGCCCGGTTCATACTTCATGCGAAAGCATAGGCGAAGCGAAATTTGTGACGTCAACAATACATTTGAAGCGCGTCCACCATTGTTGACGACATGAATTTCGCTTCGCACAAGCTTTCGCGTGAAGTATGAACCGGGCTTAACCCTACAGTTACGCAGCAGGTGATACTTTCCTCGCCTTCCACCTCTCTTTGTGCCCTTGTTCGAATCCCACTAAGCTTAATATATGGTTTGGTTTCTCTGGTAGTTTCTTCAGGCCACCAAGCGTCGGGATCTCTTTTGAAGAACTCTTAAATAATTAAGAATAAAGAAATAATGCTTTTGATACAAGGCTCCCTCTGTGACGAGCTTGAAACTGATCGGTTTATGTAACCCACAGCCACATTTTCAAAATGCTTGATGCATACGACGTGCTCAATACAAAGTCCGCATATAGTGATGTACAAGTTACATTGCATTTTGAACAATGACACATGACATAAATTTACCTAGTTTTATCAAATCTTTCCCCTTAATATCATTATTAACCTTAGATTGTTAGTACATTATTGCTTTAAATGAAGCCTGTGTTACACTGAATAGATTGTTTACTTTGCCCACAACAATTTGTTATAGAGCTATCTGACCTACGTAATCAGTTAAAAATTAATTGTCGTGTCTATACTTTGGGCCAAATTAGTAAACAAAACCCCGATGGCATGAAATGGGTTGCCCTCGTTTCTAGAACACCAAGATGTTTCGTAATGTTCACTTGAATAGTGGTCCGTTTCTTCACAAAGGAACTTCTGACGTCTGTTGCCACAGGATAGGATGGAATGTTCACGTGTTACTGCTAGTCACAGACTCATTCTTGTGACTTTTATTCCCGGCTGAGTTTTTGTTCCTTATTTGAATTTAAGCGCCTGCTGGGTACAGCGAGTCTAGACGACTCGCTGATTTGTCGACAACAGGGATCTAGTCAAACTCGTTATGGCACTGAACGTGATATTGTAATCGTTTTGCGAGGTGTGTGGACGTTCTCTAAAGTAAACACACCGGCAATTCTGCTTGCAATTCGTGGCCGAGGCATCGCCTCGTTAGGGGAGGGAAGCTTTACCAAAACGGAGAACGGACACATGCCGCGTGACGACCATAATCGGTATTTGCACAACTCGGATTGCAATTTAATAGAAGTAGCAACAACCGAATATTTGCTGTGCATCCTATTCAGTTGTATCCCCCTTCATGCTCTGGTTGAACTGTATTTTCCATTCGTGTGTTAGGATTACAGAGAACACACAACAATTATAATCGTTGTTTTCCTGCGTGAAGACATTGGTACCAGTAAATCACTACGTTAGCTAAATGTAAACTTTTTTCTTGTTTCTGTCATTTTTGCTTTTGTTCACATTTTTTTTCCAGTTCTTGGTCTTGTTTTGTTTTTCATTCTCCCCTTCTTTGTTGTCATACTTTTCATTTCAACGGTCCATTTAATGGTAAATCTTAATATCAATAATCGATGGGCGAGAGTCATTATTTTGGTTCTTTCCTCTAAACATTTTCATTTTTTTTGTCACGGATGTAAGATTTTTGGTTATTTTTTGATAAATGTTATACCATTTCCCCCAATTTTGAAGCATTAATTTCTTTTTTTTTTTGGTTCTATTATTTAGTATTTCATTGACACATTTTTTCCCTCGCAAAGCCCAGTACTTTTAATATCAGATAGATCATGGTAGCTGTCAGTGGTGTACTTGAATATTAAGCTACTGCACCAGCATGCCATTCTTTATTAACATAGCACGATTGCTGCGAAACACTGCTATTTCCCTATATCCCATGAAATTAAACGTCGTTAACTGAACGGCAACGTAATTATTTGATATATTGAGAAATTCAATAGCGCACTACACATGAAAGCAACGACACCTTTTTGCATTCATTTGAATCAATAGCAATGCTTATCTACGATCGGAATGTTGGGGATAATGTCTCGGTTTGGTGTATTTATGTATACTGCAATCTGTTAAAGGTGTTTTATTAAAGCACTCGCACAATTTAGAGACGGAGAAATCGCTTTTCAGAACAGGAAATCATTCTACCCTTTCAGGAAGGAACGTAAACTAATTTAGGGCACATGCTGTCAACCTTAGTAAGTGGTAAATTATGTCTTTAAAACATCCGGTTCTGCAAAGCCAGTGAGTATTATTACTTGCCACAATTTTAGTCCTTTGGAAGACATCTAATTTGTAGAAAAAATGTATTTAAGGTATGGCTATAAATATGTTTAGGTTATCTCAAGCTTGTTCCATTCAGTTGTGTAATTTTAGTTTTTCGCATTTGTTTACACTGCAGTGTGCTCGGTATTGCATCAGAATCAAAATCAGGCTAGGATGCGACACAATCTTATATATGTTTACTCTCAATTCTACCAAATTTCGATCAATATCACTGTTCTATATGTGAGCTACAGTCTGCCGACATGTACAGCATTCACCCGAGTACGGAAACAGGAATTGGTTGATTCTCATAACCACGTTATGTCTACAGGGTATTCATATGTTGTGGGCGGTTTAAGTTGAATTAATGATCTAATATCGCTCCTGTTTGATAACGGTTTCCTGAAATAAACAAAGTGTAGCATATTGGGATTCCTTGTTTTCCATTTATTGCAGTGCTTGGGTCGGCTTTTGATGAATCGCTAATGGCGACCGTCATCTAAACGCCCTCATTAAGCAGGATTAATGGTAGCCTCTGATGAAACCACTGAAATTCGTCGAGTAACTTAATCAAATAGAACAATTAGTTTTGTAACGACTTCCAACGAGTGGTAAGGAGACTATGATATCGAGTTAAGGTGCATATCCTGCGGGTGATAGGAGGGACTAGCATTGACCGTTGCCGATTGACCTGCTCCTCCAGCCGTTTAATTTTTTGCATTATATCGGCCATACGAATAACTTGATCCTTCTTTGCTTATAATTGGTTTATGCAAAAGCGAATTTCATGACAATTTGAAAAGATTTTCGAGGTATAAAGGAAATTCAGTACACACTTTTTTTTGTTATTTTTTAATTTCAACCCTTACTCCTTTAATACAGCATTTTTTTATGCCTGGATGACAAGCAATTTCCGACCACAAGACAAATTCAGCGGTATTCCCACCCCTAATATGATTCCGTGTTTTTGGCTTGTGCGGCGGTAGACTTGCCTTATAGGTGAAATGCTGTGACTAGTTTGGTAAAACGAATACTATGTTTTTATCAATACTATTACTGCTTTATTACCCTAACGTTTTGAAGCATTTTTTCGGGGGCACAAAATGGCATCTGCACTTATAAGTGCCGTAAAGAACTAAATCTTATACCAAATCAATTTGTTTATTTCTTTCCTTTTCAACAGATATGTCGTTAAACCGGCGCTGAGATTTCACCATCAAAATGTGTCGTGATTAGACTTGAGACCAGTCCTCACTGATGGAATAATGAGGACAACCAACGGCATGATATCATCTGAGTTTTCATGGGATGCTATTCTAACTTCTCGGTACCTTGATTGGCCAAGTTTGTAGAGCTTGTGTTTGCTCTTGTAAATATTTAACTTAAGTTGACCTTTGTCAGAGGTCATTACAGAAACAATATATCTTGCTTCGTTGGCCACTCTCTGACTCAATAGAGTTTTGAGGGCTGTGTTTGGACAACTGTGAATCATCCGCAAGTTTTGGGACGATACCCAAAGTTTCAGAATAGGTTGTTAAAAAATCTCCTGCAACATGAATGAATCGAATGATACTGGAAGCGATGGCCCCTACTACCACGTCTGTATGGATTACTATAACGAACCCATGTACAATGAACCAATATGGCTGCAGGTTCTCTTTGGTGTTTTCTTCGGCCTGGTAACCGTCCTCGGAATTGGCGGGAATGCTATAGTTTGCTACATTGTTCTTGGTCACCGCAGGATGCGCACAGTGACCAATTACTTCGTGGTCAATTTGGCCGTGAGTGACCAACTCATGGCCGTCATGTGCGTCAACTTCACCTTCTACACGACGCTCTACATGACCTGGCCGTTTGGTTTGGTCATGTGCAAAGCCGTATCCTTCTTTCAAAGCGTCTCTGTCTCCGTCAGCATCTTTACCCTAGTCGCCATCAGCATGGAGCGGTACATGGCGATCATCCATCCGCTGAGACCGCGTCTAGGCTCCACTGGGACCTTACTGGTGATCTTGTTCATTTGGATCAGCTCCGGTGCCTTGGGACTTCCCACCGCCATCTACTCTACCGTCTACCTGGAGGACGGGATGACCTATTGTTCCGAGGAGTGGGGCCAACGTGGAAACTACAGCTTTGCCACCATGGTCCTCCAGTACTTCTTACCTCTGGGAGTGTTAGGAATGGCGTATACTCGGATTGGAATAAGGATCTGGGCTCGGAAGACACCGGGAGAAGTGGAGGCAAATCGAGATAGACGGATGACTGAGTCCAAGATAAGGGTAAGACAACCTACTTTCTATTTGCTTTTGTTAATATCAAAAAAGTGGGAATAATCCAAAAAAAGGTATGACTGCTTTTGCAGTCGTAAAAGGAATATCCTGACAGTCTATTCAACAGGAAAGAAACGGGGTTCCTATCTGAGTAGGATAAAAAAAAAACTGACCCTACTGAAATAATGGCTGATGCGATCATTAATGGGTAGACTTGGAAGCTCCCAAACAGACTTATACACAAATGACTGGTAATATTGCACAAAAATATTTTGGGATCTACACAAGACCTTGCACGACTATACAGCATTTGTCCTCGGTTCTACCACTTTTCTGGGTCAATTCGCGCACGCTACTGCGTCCTTCCATAGCGCATGTTCCAGCACTCCAAGACTACTGTTTATCCCAGTTCAGTATACTACTTGTTGATTGGTCCAAAATTCTTGGCAGACTTTCCAAAATTGCGAACTTTATAGTAATTACGTGTAGAAGCATAAACGCAAGTGTCACAATGCTTGCCTGACCTGACGCAAGCTTACTTTAATTGTCGACGTGCTATGTCGCAGAGGCATGATGGAGAGCTTTTAGGAGGAAAAAAATGATAAAAGCTTTGCAATTAAGGACATCCTGCAAAAGCTGCAAATTGATACTTCAACTATTGATCGGTCATGCAGGCACGTTCTTTTGGGGGTAAATATAAAAGTTTCATCAGCATCTTGACGAGTCTCAGTAATGACTACAATTTTTACATTGGAAGGGAATACACACTCGCTGGTGCTGTGAGGGATATAGAATACTAGACGATATTAAAGCACGTTTTATAGCTCATTCCATGAAACTAAAAAGAACTGGAAAACAACCTAAATACAAAGTTCATCGATTAACCTGGTGGAATATGACATGGTTTTACGGTAATGAAAGATTAAGGGATATGGTCACGATAATTAATCAAAGAGGTTTCCATACTTCCCGCGGAAAAGTTGCCTTCATTTGTTATAATGTATCTCATTCATCAGAGCCTTGCATTGCGAACTTCAGTATTAGTACTTAGAGCGTGGCAACAAATTGAACATTAGGTCACATTAATCACAAAATGCTTTCAGAATCTGGCGTCGAATGTCGTTCAGAATTTCATTCGGAAATAATTTGATGGTATGGCACTCAACGGCTTTCTTTGTAAATCATGAAGTGCTCATTTTACCTGCATGGGCCAACGTAATGGCTTTTGCCAGGCTATAGCTTTACTGTTAACAAAGAAAAGAAGTATAACATTTCATATCAACAATCAAAAAGGAAACATCTTTTTAAATGGAAGTCATTTGTATTGGAAATTATCAAAGCGTTCTAGTTTTAAAACATTTTCAACAGAATCCATCAGTATGCTAATGCAAACGCTTGTGGCTGTCAAGATTCCCACTCGTTGGGTGTGGAGAAAAGGTCTTTTAATACATTTTAAGTAGATCCGTCGTTCTCATGTTTCAAATATTCATGACCACCGCCGTATTATATCCAGGGATGAGCTCCTTTCTGTCTGTTGGTTTTGCGTAAATTTCCTGACAGTTGGACTTTCTCATGCAGCCATTTTGCGACAAGTAAGTAAAGCTGCATTAGGCCTACATCCAAACGACTCGCACGCTTTGTATTCACGCTGAGTGCAAAATGAGACAGATTACTGAAAATAAACGTCAATTGTGATCATGCCGCAATCTTCTCATTATTATGCCCATTGCTTATACATAAATTTACTAGCAATTTTAGCCAGAGTGTTAAGGAGCGGAAGACATCTTTCCCAAGATCTCGATTTGATTTGATATGCATTGTAGCTACGCTTTAAGAGAAGGGTCTAGGGTAGAGATGTGTCGATGTTCGATTCAACACGATACTCTGTCGGTGCTTAGTTTCTCAAACACATATGATGAAGCAGCTCAGTGTATGGGGGCGCCAGTTTCTAGACGCTCAAGTATGTTTGTCTGAAATCTCTAGTGGGTCCGGTGTACCGTTTGCATCTTGCAAATTGAGTCTTGACCTGACACTTTGCAATAACACACACACTCCCACGTTGTATGTTGACTCGGAAGTGAGCTACATCGGCTGTACAGTAACCGAAAAGTTATGTTATATTTATTGCAGATTAGAACAACTCGAGAGATTAGAAGATTATATAAATGGCAGTCACTCGCCGGAAACACAAATAAATCGAACATCTGCCTTGAATTTTGATTGTTCAAACAATGTCATTTTTTTTCGTTGAAGATAATAATTCGCAAGTTGTGAAAATGGACATTATCAATGAATCACATGATCACACTCCTATATACATTCAGATATAACATTTTACAGTCGAAGTTTATATTGCGTCACAGATAATATTTTTTTGGGCAAATTTTTATTAATTATTTTTTACTCGATGTTATTGATTGAAAGTGAAAAACCACGATGGCACCTGTTGGTGTCGGAACGATTGACTAAAGCTTCGCCTTTGTGTTTCCGTCCATTAATTTGACACAAGTCTGGTTCCCAACAAGGCCTTTGACTTTCAAAGTGTGTGCCTCGTGCATGGCTTGTCCTGGTTTCTGATGGCATTTTGGCATTGCGAACTTTTAAAAAGAAAACAATCTCGGTAGCATCCTGCTTTCTCTTCATATTTTCACACGACTTTACCCACATAAAATGCTTGACACCAAGATAATTAATGATAATGCATCTGCGTTGTTGATCTTTGACAACATTTGCCGCTATGTAAAGTCAATTAGATGATAATTTGTCCAAAACAATGACGGAAAACACTTTACCAACCGTTTTAACAGTTCAAACAAATCTATGTCAAAACCATCACATTCTTTAAACAATTCCGATTTCATGTTAACCTACGGATAGAGTTTTGTTCACCGATATCATGACAGAAAAAAAAAACACTCCGGAGATGAAGGTGGCGTGCCGTGGCCGATACCTCTCCACGATATGATGTGACCGATTGCCTTCGGATGTTTTTAGAAACGCATCAATTTAGGGTGTCGCTGCAAATTGGTTGCCGAGCGCGCAAATATTGAGTGAGTACAGCGGTAGTCGTGCCGGCCGGTCGGCCGGGCCCCTCGTCCCCGTGAACCTCGCTCCAAAGTCCGCGAGACGATCGTATGAAACAAATGGCCGTACTTTCGGCGGCAACTTCCGAGGTTTTCATTGAAGTGACATCAGGCTATAAATTGATACTTGAAAACTGGTTACTTATTTGGGATATGCATGCACCGTTGAAAAAAAAAAATAACGTTCAGTTATTCTAGTACGTGGCATCCTACGGTTGTTCTGTGGTGTTTATTTTGTTACATAAGAACCCTCCCTCCTTAAACATGACGTAAGCAATTGAAAAGGATCGGTGTGTTCCCTGTCACCAAGCGTCTCATAAATCTCCCATTCGAAACGGAGGGGTTTGGTGCAGGCCAATGGTATAGCGCCCCCATGAGAAAACTTGTACAGGACGAGTTAGGTCTATTGACACAACGCCGTGATTGGCAGACACGCTGGTGATGTCATCGCGTACTGTTAGCCTTGCAAGGTACAGAGGCGGGGTCAATGCTATATGAACCTGCTAGACAGGGAGCAGTACTCCAATTTACTTGACTCTCAAACTTCCTTCCGTCCTCTGGATCGATAGATTTTCTACCCTTGCTGTCATAACCTGAAGGCTTTAATATAAACATCGATCTTTTCCCCCTATCTGTCACAGTTAGTCAAGATGTTCGCCGTGATAGTGTTCCTCTTCGCCATCTGCTACCTCCCTATTCACACCTTCAACATCGTACAAGACGTTCACCAATACACCGTGCTCTGCTACCCCTACATCCGGGTCATCTACGTCACCGTCATTGCCGTTGCCATGAGCAACTGCGTCTACAACCCTTTCATCTACTGCTGGATGAATAGTAAATTCCGAGACGGGTTTAAGAATGTCTTGCGCTGCTTGCCTGGGTTACGGCGCCACCAGCGACAGCAGGCGTCTCAGTCTGGATCCTTCCGGGGATTGAAGAGGACCAGCACGCTTAACACGCACATGCAGTCCTGACTATAGGCCGGCATTGAATACATGAGAACAAGAAGAGGTCAACACCGCCATGTTTGCCAATTTTAAATCATACCCTGCACGGTATTTGTTCACACAGAGGGCGCCCTTGTGTGCAGAGTGGGTTGCAGTCGAGTCAAGTAATGTGCGAAGTAACGGGGAATGAGCACTGACGAAGGAGTGATGTTGTCACAGTTTGCTAGAATGGCTTGTGAGTTGAGTTGAGTCGAGAAAGGATGAGTTGGGGTTGAGCTGTTTGGATTTGTGAGGAATGTTGTAAACTGTGCTTGTGTGTACCAGAAGGGCCGAATCTCACGCATTTTTGCGCATCAGCGCCATATGCATGGAGGATAGTTCCTTCTCCGAGCCTAAAAAAATCACTTTCTACCTTCTTGTTCTCATGTATTCAATTAGTATCTGGCTCCATGAAAATAATTGCAAGTTTAAATATTGCCTCGAAGGGAAATATTTTTTTGTGGTCGTTAACTTTCTATAATGATGACATCGCACGTACTGTACATTGAACTGTAGCATTTAGTGAACACGTGGTTTGCTTCACCTAAGTTTCCAATTTCACTATTAAATTATGTGGTTAGATAAAGCATCCACATTATGGATGTTATTTTTTCTGAAATATATAGTTTAAGCCACTAGCATAATTCCTTTATTAATTTAAAAGTTTTATACAGTAAAGAATTAAAAGCACTTATTTTGGAAGGGAAACAGTGTGTGCAGTTTACGGCGTGCTAATGGATATATAAATAGACTGAACAGAAAACTTGGTATGGATATGGATGAGAAATAATTGTGTAACGATTACTAAACGCGCGTCATGGTGCAGCTCTTAAAGTCACGTGACAGCGAATTGCCCAATCGGGTTCTTTAGACTTGCGGACCTGCAAGAGCTCAAGAACCGTTTTGTCCTGCCCCCATACGTGACCCCTTAGTCTAGCAAACGCTTCAAATCATGCCCATTTTGGGCGCCTAAATTTATGCTGTAGTAATATGGCAGTTTCCACAATCTCGCGGCCATGATAGTAGTCTGAGCATCACCCGTTGTCCAACAGAGCCCGCCCTCTCCGTAACCAACGTCTGAGCAATGCAAATTGTATGCGACCCCAGGCGCCAGCAAATCAGAGTCGACTTTATAAACTGTGACGTCATTTCGATCAGAACTGTGGACATAGCTGTTGATTTGTTATTTGGCTGTCATGTTTTTGTAATACAACAACGGGTTACCGAAGACCCGATATAGAAGGCGTCCGCTGAATGGTCAGAATCTCGAGGTCAAGGCGCAGTCTTGTTTGCATAATCAATCGCTGAATCTGATCGCATATCATAGACCTTTGTTGTGCAAGGGGATATTCCACAGACTTCTACGAAAGCGGTGTCCCATGTGTTTTCTATACGACCATATGCCCTTATGCCAACACACAAGCCTTTATCGTCTCCTGAAATACGAAAAAAATATGATCTACTTTCACTCGAAAAAAAACTATAATGTATCTCTATGCTAACGTTAAGCTTCCAAATTAAAAGGTTTCATTAAAAAAAAACCTGAGATAGAAATTTTGCTAAAAATGTAATCTACATTATAAATAGTAATGACTTTTTTTGTGGAGTTGCCGTGTTCTTAAAGACGGTCAAAGTTGACTTGAAGTTGTCGATTAAGGTAGAGCTGGTTCTCTTGTTGTCCTGTTACTCGGTAATAATCCGGATGCAATGCGCCTTTGAGCTGTTATCTGTAATATCCTCTGACATCGAGTGAGATACAGTCAGGGAAGCACTGTGACATTCGTAGGTTTTATACTGTGCAATGTAGTGTAAGATTACCCCGCCTTAATTGTATAAAAATAATACATGTTCATGATTGAAAATACAATTACGAAATCAAAAATAGTCTCAAAAAGCTTAAAAAGAAAATTTTCGAGCATAAACCTTGATTGTGGCATCAACCAAAGTGTTAAATACAATTTAAATCAAGTTATAGGCCTACCTCGCTTATTACACCAAAGATAATTCGAAATACCTTAAATAAAATAACAGACTCTAAAAAGGACACACGGCAAATCTATTGTGCATGAACTGGCAAAGTATTAGTATTTTTTAAAAGTCGTCATAATTGTGCCTACGCAGTGTGCTCTTTTCAACCTTGTCATTAGTGTTAGATCCAGCAAATTTAAGTACTTGATGTGACCCATGAATATCAATTTAAATTTAACATTTGGCTAAAATCCAGCACTGTTAATGATTATATAATGTATATTTGGAAAAGAGTCAAAGTAAAGTTTTAATTTGTGGAACATATAAGTGAAGGGTTCTGGAGACCGTTGGTTCGAATCCACCTCCAGTCGGTTTCTTTCATTAACTTGGTAGTAACTAATCAAATGTGTAAGATAATGACACAAATCTCAACTTAAGCGTCTACTCTGGCCAAACTACCATCTTTGCGGACTGTACATAATTAATTGTACTATATTGTAGTTTTGTTTTAAAAGAAAACAATAAATATTTATTGCCGATGCAAATTTGCTGTGATTCCTTACTTTAAGATTCCATGTAGACTCTTTGTACACGATGTTCGACAAATTTCGAACAAAAAAACCCTTCGGAACAGCCAGAACATAATCATTCTGTCACGTGACAATGGCGGATACCCGACTCAAACATCATTGGCATTGTATAAGGTCTCGGAACCAAACTAAGGAATACATGCGCGATTTCGATTGAAAATCAACTTATACCTTTGCTTCAGTTTACCGGTAGAGGGAGCTATTGACCTCCTGGCATGAATGGAACATTTACGAAACCTCGGCTTCATATCCAGTTCCGAGTGGGATCCTAAAAAAAAAATCATTAGCACGTTCCATAATTGATGTCCAAAATCAATAATCATCCATTCTGACTTGAAGGTAACTCATACTTCTTTAAAATATGCGAAGAGATTATTTAGTTTTTGGTAAAACTCCGAATGCCGCAATGAAGATATATGGTTGTTGACGTCGTGAGATTCGCTTCGCCTGAAGTCGCGTTGTGAGTCCGCTGTCAATAGACATGCGTTGCGGGTATCAAAGGGTGTTCTTTGGTTTTATTTTTATATATTAATAGTTTTAATTTTGTAACAATGAATTCACAGAAGGTTTACTCATGCGTATCCCAGCGATACAAAAAAAACCATTGCCCTCTGTATTCGCCTTAACGCATAAGGCCTATGATCTGGCATGGCAATGCCCAATGGATGATGTCATGATTCAGACTCGACTAGTTCCCAGTTCGGATGAGGAATTGATAACGGAAGCCTAGGGGCTGTTAGTGTGTGTAGCTAACAGACTGTATTGATGATACTGTTACCGGTTTGACAAGTGCAGGGAGCCGCACAACATAATTTGCAGGCCGGTGCTGAAGAGTTGAAATAGGCACAAAGTTTTGGGTCATTAGAAAAGAGGGCAAATTGATAGAATGACAAGACAAGGGTCATACAGGTTTTAAAAGACGAGATCGGAAGTAAATGATCAAATGAACAGGAGAGGAATGTTACAGTAGGCTATATAAAGGGCCTAAGTGATTCTTGAAATTAACCATGTTGGTTAATTTCAGATCCGTTTACTCGTTGGGTACTTGTTGCGTTTGGGTCTCGCCGGGTCGGTTTTGTCTATTAAGGTTTGTCTATCGGGTCGGGTGAGGATGGGGTTCGACTATCCTATTATGCAGGTTTGGTTGCCTTTAAGTGTAGGTAAGTTCAGTTTGATGGTTTTCGTGGGTTCGGTTTGGTTTCGTTCTGTTCGGTGTTGTGTCAGGCCGGGTCGGTAATATGACTTGGGTCCGTTCGTGCCACGGTTATTCCCTATCGGTATAGCTCGATATATGTCGGTTTGGTTCGGGTCGTTTGGTTAGGCTATACGAGTTCAATTTTGGTTAGCTGTTATTGGATCAGGGTTGTTCGTGTTTGTGTTGTTAGGCTTTTCAAAAGCACCTGAGCTAATTGACTGTGCGTGTTAGCTTTCGTTCCGGGGTATAGTTAGGGGTGCGTCTAAGGGTCATTCCGGCTATTTACACCCAAGCAACTTGAAGATCTTTCCAAAGTAATGGAACATGTCAAGAGGGTCGGTAAGAAAGTTGGACTGATTTATTGCCTCGGAAGCAGCCGGGGTCACTGGTCGGGAGCTTGAGGAGGGGGGTAAAATCTTGAGGAGGTCAGCTCTCTGCTTCCAAAAGTAAAGCTTCCGTGATTTCTTACTTAACACAGTTCCGGGAGCCGATTCCCCGAGCCCCCGCGGGCAATTCCCCCTTGCATCCACTGACTGAAATACAAAAACAAAAATTACTCCTATGCCTATTGCTGGATTGGGAAAATAAGGTCGGGAGTGTGGCACGCAATGAGTGATATACCCAGCACTGATTCTGATTATCGGGCTGACAGATTGACTCCTATTTTTAAATTGTTCATAAATTGATGTAAACAACATTTTACATCCCAAGATGTCGTCTGTGATTCTTGTGACCTGTTCCCCTTTTGCCCACCATACATGACCGTGATTGGCGTCAATAAGGAATGTTGTCATTCCAATTAAACATAGAGATAACAATTTTACAAAAAGGCAAAAATCACTATCTGATTTTCTCATAGTAAATGTTGTTATTGGGTCCGCATATAGGGCGGTAGCACATTTTCCATATGGCGTCGACAGTGTGTTGTTATACAAATAACGAATGTTTGTGAGTGCGATGGTAAGAATAATTTCATGAGGTGACAGATTGAATGTTCTATTCCACGAGGCGAAGCCGAGTGGAATAGAACATTCAATCTGTCACCGAATGAAATTATTCTTTCCATCGCACGAACGTAAAACATTCGTTATTTGTTTTATACAACACCTGAATAAATTCTCGTCATTTGATTGGTAAATTATAAACTACAATTTATTTTGATTTTAAAGATGTTGAACTACCCCTTCACGAAAATGTTTGAACCCAAAGCTGTAGCGCTGGCTCTTTGGAACAATACGCGCTGCGCGGATGGAACACACCAGCATGCATTTTGCACGCAAATACCGCGTCATGGAACAAGCGCAAAGTGAAACGGTATAACGCATGGGTATAACGCATGGTCGCACCGTGCATTATACCGAATAATAATATGTCACGTGATCTACAATTCACCAATCAGATGACGGGGATTTATTCAGGTGTTGTATAATATGTTAGGCCGTGTCCGAAACGGGCTTCCAGAGCTACGGCTACGTCTATTGTCAGCGCGTCTCCGCGTATTTTCAAAGGGCACAGACCTAGACCTAGCTCTAGGCAGTTGATTCGGATGCAGCCTTATAGTCAAATCTGGCAGCAGCGATTTTCTGCGGTGGTGCAAGGCTTATAAACGAGTCGCGCTCGGGTAGGGCGCACGCACTTCGGGCTCTTTTTCGACCAATAGGAATATCAAAAAAGCGCGCGTGCCGCGTCTTTAAGAACGCGTGCAGCATGCGCGTGGCGTACACGTGACGGGTCCACATGGAGATAGCTACGTGCTTACACACAACCAAAGGTGGCCATAAGGGTGTTTTAAAGGGTAACTTTTGCTCCTCTGGCGCGTTTCCAACTCTTTAAGCGGGGGTACACGTAGGACTACTTCAAAGCCCACAGTCTACCCCCTGGAACTCCATGCTTATCGATTTCTTCCTGGAAGGAAACTGGATATCAAAAACCTGTCAAGTCATGAACTCAAATGAGCTACCGCAAATTAGGTAAACCGTGAGCAAACTGTTTGCGAGAACTAAGTACGGGTGGTTCGTAAGCGAGCACAATTTAATTGCAATAACAGTTACCCAAGGCCATCTTATAATTCATGTTGTCAGGAATGTAAAGATTTATAGATATCGTTGTAGGTAACGTCATAAATAACCCAAAAATTACTCATAGGCCTACGCCATTCATATAGCATTTTGTATGAGAGTTTTTATGGTCCATGTATTAAGTGTTAATATGGGGCCCATAATATATAACTTAATTATAGGGCACATAAAAATATATAACTTAATTATAGGGCCTATATCAAAATATATAATAGGTCCAAAGCGATTATAACAGGGCTGCATTTGCGCTTTTACATGCTATTTTGAAGAAATGGGACTCGGAAGACACTCAAGTGAGGTTATTATCGTTAACATGCTTGGCAAATTATTTACCAGGCAGTAAACATAAATGGTCCACGTCGAGGCCTTTTGACCCAAACATTACCGGTACCACAGCCACACAGGAACACACAGGTCCGGCAGTACGGTTACATGGCCCCTCAATTTCTGCCAAAACATCCCAGGCCCTACACAGGTCCTACTCAAAATACAAAAAAATAATAAAACTGCTCCAAATAAAAACGCCGGTTGCCGGGGGAATACACGATGTCAAATTTATACCCTCCTCATGTAGGCTTCCTCTTCCCGCGGAACGTTTAAGAGTCCCTCGAAGTGCCGCTAGGGAGTTGAGCGGTTATGACACTAAACTCATACACTCACAAGAAAATAGAAAGTTGTGCGGGGAGTCACTCGTGAGCTACTTATAAATGGAGCGCTTACTTTTGAACCGGTCATCGGTAGCGCGATTTGCACACGTCCTTTCATCATTTTTGGTAAGGGTGGGCACGAAGTAATGACTAACTAAGGCAGCGAAACCTCTCTAAGGTTTGCCGTAGAGTTGGGTACTGTCGCGCCAGTCTACCCCTCACTCCTCCAAAACGGGGGTCTCTCTGAGACTGTCATGAGGTAAGGAAGCATTTGTAATCAGAATACACCCGAGAGGGAAGCCTTGTGTTAGGGCCTTCACCAGGACGAGAATCTCTTTAAGTGAGAGGTGGGGATTATCATTAGGCCGTAATTCACTGCAGAAACTCGTCGTCTTTTGGCAAACGTGATGGCATGCTGTGGCGTTCGGGTCATCGGAAGGAGAGGGGATCTGCTGTGGTTTGTCTTCGCGACTGCGTTGCTGCTGGCCAATTTTCCTTCTGTGCCTTGCGCAGTTTCGGGCCAGACTCACCCGGGGAACCGTGACAAAGTTCGACCTGACGGGACAAGAGATCCAGAAATCAACGTGAGTATTCTTAATTATAAAGCAAATCTTTTGGAATGTTCAATGTAAATAAGCATTGTCCGGGACAGATACGAAATTGAGGCTGCCATTGCACGTACTTTATTGATCAGAATTGTCAATAATCGAATCACCAGAAATCATTGCATGTTACACGTCAATCACACGTCAATCACAAGTCATCCGGTCTATGGTCAAATGACAAGCTTTTCTAATGAAAAGTGACAAGGGCATCCCTTTTCTGTGTCACAACTTGCTTCCCTTTCCCTAAGGCACGTGTCACTTGACTTGTGATTTGATGTATGATTGACTTGTGACTGACTTGTGTTTTGGCTTATGATCTGACTTGTGATTTGTTTGTGATTGTCTCGAACGACAACTATTAGATTGAACTTAACTGGTGGAGAACTTCACGATCCACTGGATTAGGTACATCAATCATGGATAGTTTCACGTTTTGGACCCAAATGTCAAATATTTTTGAAAGCCATTTAGATACTGCGATTGTTAAGAAATTGCGTGCCAACCTTGCGTGTGACTATTATGACGACATCTCAGTAGGCCTCAGTGAATTCATCGATGACCACGAAAGTAATGGTCATTTCGTGATGAGGCAAATTTGACTAATTACCCCCGAAAGAATTACAGTTATATCGTTCTGAAGAAGGCGCAAGCTGATTTTTTGTTGTTGCTTGATTTAGGAGAGGGGATGGGTGACTAAGAGATAGAAGTGAATAATTCATGTTGACAGTTTTTTAGGGATAGGACCTTGGCATTTTATCGTTTTATTCTGACGCCAGGAACGGATGTTAAACAAACACAAAATGACGTTGAACGAAACACAGGTTAATTTGAGTGGATATACTATTTACTAATAGGCATATTTTTCGGCAAATTTGAGCGAGATACTAGCACACTTTTCCGTTTTGAATTCAAAGAGAAATCGTAAATGCAAAAAAAAAGGTTGCCGAAAGAATTCATAAAAAGAAAAATGATTCACAGCTTTGATTGTTATCTTTGTTTCTATTTCGCCTAAATTCCAAAGTTCATTCGTCGCAGTTTATTTTGTTCCAAGAAGAGTTTAATACAATATCCTGCCAGTAATTAGTTATCTATTAGGGAGGAACAACCTCCTTCCTTAAGTCGATCAATCAAGTGGGTTGTCATTGTCTTATATAAGGATATAAGGTACGTGCCTTTCCCTACGACTTTGTTCATAAAATGGCTGGCTGGTTGGTTTGTTGGTTGGAATGTCTTTCTTTTTGTGTTTGGTGTTACAAGAGCGCCATGCGCGTTTAAGTCGCTGCGTGATACGCACTTCGTCAGTATACGGTGGCCTTGAAGGTGACATTCATTGGAATGCATTTACGGAAAATATATTTCAGGACAACATCGTGAATATAAAGTCGACGGTATATGTCACTTCACAGCCACCGTACTACCTTTGAGTCTCATATCTCTATGGACCGATGACATTGCATACGCTGCAGGTAACGTCCAAACCTACAACCGGGGCTGTCAGAATAAATCTTGCAATGTCATAATTGAACGGAATTTCTAGCACAAGATGGTTCCTCCAATTTAAGACATTAATAACACACCTTAATCCTACTGCTCGGCCAAAAAACTCCATGTGACCGCTTGGGTAAACGTGACTGTTCGTGTCTAAGAAAGCAAGTTGTAGGTATAGTTGATGAGAATAACTCCGTTACATTTTAAGTCTGATGATAAACTAAACGTTTAGGCATATTCTGAATCTGAAAAAAATAGAAACTTGCACACTTTTGCAGCAGTCTTTTTTTTTCAAATTACGATTATAATTCGATGGAAAAATAGAGTAAAATTAGGTCCAGGAAGATTTGGTGATAAATTTCGAGTAATTTCCCTCAAGATTTGTCGTGAACCGGACAAATACTTCCCTCAGAACAAACTCAATGATCAGTATCGTTTGCGTCTCTCCTCCTCTTTGATTGATTACCTATACCGACGGCCTCTACTGATGTACCAACCAACTTTTTCTTGATAGATCGCCAACCTGCTGTCTGCAAAACAGCCGATACATCTCACCGAAGCCAAGTCGCAGGGAAATACATTTCAAGTACCTGTCATTTATTGGTGTTGACTCGCTGGTTTGCCTGTGGCAGTCGATAGTACTTTATACGGATACGACTCAGACCACATCCTGAGACCTACCTGTCTGTGGTCCGAAAAGATTACAATTTTACAACCTGTTGCTGAACTCCCTCCCCCCCCCCATTCCCCATGGAAAAAAAACTCTATGAACCTTTGGGTTTCATGTAGTAATTGTGCGATATTAAATAATAAAATTATCCTAGATGGTGGAAGGTCCAATATCAAACACTGCACCATTTTTTTTATATGCGTGGGCTATATACATGTTTTAATAAGGGAATAGATAATATGTGCTTGGCCGGTTTAAAACAAGTTCATTTAAACCGGCTTTGGGCCTGGACGCTGATAAATACTATTGGGTCAAAAAGTCAAAATAAGTCAAAAACTATAAATTTCAAACTATTTTGTTTAACAATTTCATTTCATGTTTTTTTTTAAAACACCCTCTAGATATGTTATGGTATGTGCATCTCACGTAGTACTGAATATCTCCTGATATGGAGATTGGTGCGCGCCGTGGCGTGTTCTTAGGATTGAATTTAGTGTGAATTTTAGGACTCTATGAAATACGGACTCATTGGTAGTATTGCGCATGCCTGAGTGAAGATTGTGAACGTTCAACCAATAAAAGGGTAAAAGGGACCAGATTTCATGGTAGTCCAAATTTTATGTGACACCGCAAAAGTGTTTAAAACCAGCCAGCCGGTGTTTTATCAACCGTTTAAAACCGCCCACGTGACGGGCTCTATATATAGAATAGGTATTAACTGTCTCAGGTATTTATGAATGTAATTTGCCTCACGACCTTTCTAGCTCCAAAAACCTTGCCTTTTGTGCGTCTTAAAGAGTTCACATTTCATGTTTACTTCTTCCATCCAGAAGAGAAAACAACGTAAATTGACCCAAAAGAATTATTGGTGTTTCAATTTTCAATTTCAGGGCCATGTTAAATTGGGTGTAGCGAATGTTTTGCGCAACTCATGGCTGTGTGTGTTTTGCAAAAATGTGCACCCACGGCGTACCCTACGGGTCACGAATCTCTCTATCTTACCGTACCACACACGAGCAAGTCAAGCATTTTGGGGGAAGAAAAGGGGGAACTAATGCAGATGCGTGTCAGTCAAATTTCTCCTCGGAAGGAGTTCGTTATGCCAAGGAAACGAGAAGGGGAAATGGAATCAAGGCGAAGCAGGGGGCCCCTGCGGTTTAAGTGAATTATTTAGCCGGGTGTGAAGTTGGAACTGATTGAAAAACTTGCACTTTGTGGGAACTCGGATAATAGTTTGTGTAGGCGTTTGATACATTCCCCGTTCCGATGTTCATTAAAGCGAATTGAAGGGAAAAGGCATTGAACTGTTTGAATAAAGTACGTGGGTAGAACTGATCAAATAATATGAAACAACCTTGATTGGATCGATTTTTTTTGGGGGGGGCAATAAATCCCAACAAAGACACCCTCACCCCGCAAAAAGTGAAATTATTTTGCAAAATGTGTCGTACGTCACTGGCGCCCAATACAAGCAAAAATGTAAATGCAGTTAGTTGTATGCGCAAATTCAAATGCACTAAATGCCTCTATACCGATCACTGCAGCTCGCCTGTACAAATTCATCTTTTTTTCCTTCGCAATACGCCCCTTGACCAGAGGTCAGCTCCTCCCACCCACTAACCCCTCCTTCCGCTTCGGATTATCTAGTCTCTCCCTCGAGGCGTTCTTCAATTTCCCCGAGGAGGCCGCATATACAGATAACAGTGATAACTTATGGCATCTGAGATCCTCTCTCGGTTCTTTTTCTACAGGAAGTGATGATAGATCCACTACGGTACGAGGCTAGCTCTGTAGGACATGGACTCGGTGCGATCTCCCCGCGGAAAGTCACGGGGGACACGGAGGGAAACAGAGTTTCTGGTAGGTTGGTGATTATTGAAGGAATTTACTCATCCACCGGAATGGTTTGTTAAATTGCTCGGCTATTTTTAGAGGAGATATTTCAATAATGCCCTTTTTAGGTACAGCTATCATACTCTTTCATCAAAGCTGAGAAATGGGTGTAGACCGTCTCAGCCAATAAGTATCGCTGATGATGAACATTCTACGTCATTGAAGCAATCCCCCCCCCCCAAAAAAAAAACATGCAATGCTATTGACTCTTTTGGATCCAAATATTAAACAGACGTGAATCCAAGGTATTGACGATAGTTTAATCGTTACCTTACTTTAAAAATTATTTTTGTAATCTTTACATTTTGGAATTGGAGCAAAGCAGTTTCAGTAAAGTCATTTTGAACTTGAAATTGGCGTCGTAACAACGTAAAATTCTTTATCAATCACCGCCATGGGTTTGCAATCTGTGTCAGATACTGTATCTTGAACCAAATTCTACAGACCCCCTGTCCCCACGGGGTGGGTCGTGTCACAAACTCGACGCACGCATCAGGCAGCTACAGCAGCCAGGAAGCACATGTAGCTAGCGATTCGCGAAGCCGGTAGGCCTGGCACGGTTGAAATTTGGGACTGGTTTCCCCCCATCAACATTCCCCTTTAAAAAAATGACAGATGGTTTTAAACCGGAGACCTGACCAGGGCAATGACTTCGATTTTTTGGGGGGCCGGGTTTTTCCCCCCTAAAGTCGGGTTTAAAGTTGTTGATCGTTACCCTCCTCTGTTTCTTTCAATTTCTGCCTACTTTACACTGATGCACAACTAAAACTGTTCTCTTTTGCGCGGACCCAAAGCTAAAGCTCCAAAAAAGTGTCCTAGTTCCTATAACTTGCCCTCAGGCGGGATTGACCAATATAAAACGGAGGTTCCTCGAAGTGGGTTATCCATGTTAGGCATATTTCGACTGACCAATATGTCAGAAATTGTGTTTCTTTGATCTTCTGACGGTAAGAACAGTCTATTGATCGAAAACTCAACTTAAGTTAAAGAGAGCAAATCTCTACCTGGTTCTGCTCAGAGTCACACTGCTCTTTTAGATAGACTCTTCGTTTGGCCATAGGATCCGCAAACTTTTCCCAGTATTTGCTACCAATCAAAACCTCACTTTAATTCATATTTTGCACTTCCGTACAGGTGGTGAACCATCGAAAGGCAAGCAGACATCACGTGATCGGATGCCAATCCTCGTCGGCAGAAAAAGGCGAGAGAACCCCAAACTCAGATCACCAGACGAGCCAATGGGAGCGCATCTACCACAGAGGCCGTGGCTTGGCAACGATTGCACGCGCGTCCAACCCCCGTCCAATCCTACCGTAGTCGCTGGTATCATAGGCGGGGCACTAGCCTTCTTCCTGGTGGTAGTTCTGACCATAGTGTACTGCTCCTACCGCAACCACCCTCCGTCAGACACGAGGAAGAGACTAGCGGAGATGTACGCTTACATGCGAGGACTGGAGGAGGTGTGGGTGGGCGTGGCCAATACCGGAACCAACGTGGATACTGAGAGTGCTAAATACCAGGAATGGCAGAAGATGAACAAAGGCTACATGGTGGTCTGAACAAAGTCCTCTCAAAATGAACAATGCCTCTGAGCTGAACAAAAGAGGGCGCTATAACGACCCTATTATTTGGATAGGCTATACAAGCAGTAGAAATAATGCTACTGAGTACTTTACTTCAGTCCATAAATAAAAGACTGTGAAAAAAATTTGAATCATGGTAAATGTAATTCTGTCAAACTTGGAGTCACGGGGTTTATTTACCCCTCCCCAAATGACGGTCGTCACAACGCCCCCAATCGGTGGCCTGTTGTCATTGTGGATGGCACTCTCATTTCACAACCGTGAACAAAGATGGTTACATTTTGACCAGGACTCCCATAACAAGGACACAAACTGACTTTCTTAGCAATCGCACGAGTGCACTAGCACCATCATTGCACACTGCGTCCATTTTGTGTCCAGCTTCATTTCGGACAGCGTTGTGTGCACATAGCGCCCTCTGTTGATACGCAGAGACGCCCTCGTTGGTGTTTTCGGTGCCTCAGTGTCTTGAATGAACGTGATATTGACTGTAAAACGGTCTTTTTAAGTAATAATAATGTGAATAAAGCAGACAAATTTCTTCTGTCTTCTGTATTGTAAGAGACATATTTGATAATGAATTAAAGGCATGTCGTGTAAAAAGAAATTATAATAAATCAATACATAAGCGTAAATGATTTTGAAGAAAAAAACGAGCTGATCGTCATGTTGTTGGTACGGTTGGTATTGTTGCATATTTTAACAACACTAGGAGAACTAAATACGGATTAAGACGCAGAGGTATGCAGAACAACTGCAAAGACGTTTCGTCATTGGAATAACAATACGGCTTGTATAGCTAGCTCTGTGTATAAGTATTCGCTTCGGGCACTTCATGTGCCACGCTGCAGCATCTCACGCCGCAATTTGACTGTTCTAGATGTGTTGATCAATAACTACTCGCACCCAGATTATACATCATTCTAGATACTGAATTGACCTCCAGAGAGCTCTAATATAAACCTACCGCACCCTGAGAGATTTCAGTCCTAGTTACGCTTATTCTGCTTACAAGCAACGCTTGAGTACGCGAGAACCGGCTCCAATAATGCAGTAATGGGTAAGTAAATTCAAGTGTACCAATAATGATAAAGATGGAGGGAACGAAAATAAGTTCTCATTGCAATGCAGAGAATTTTTTAAGACTGATTGCTTTCAAAAAGCTGTCACGATGATATGTGTCACACAAAAACGTAGCCTACAAAGGGGTTCCATTGCCAAAATCAGGGAATAAACCGGACTCAGTGTAGACGAAACCGAAGTTTGAGAAAATTGTCGAGAATTTGACGCACCATGGATTTTGCATAGCGCCCTCAAGTGATGTCACGTCGTGTATGTACGTACGCCGCCTGGCCAAGTTGGCGGAATGTTTGTCAAACTACACGGAAAAACACTCGAAAGTATCGCGTAGCTCACATAAACTAAAGAGAAAATTCACTTCCAAGTGGGGTGAGGTCAGTCAGCCTCTGGTAGGAGGTAGTTTAATTCTCTATCGTAAAAAAGTACTGGTCATCTGTTAAACAGCGACAACGGCTGATTTTCGTAGCCCACCGAGCAGCGTGTCGACATGACGACAGTACCGGGCCAGTCAGCGCGCTGGTCCGGTGTCAGCGCCGCTGTATTTTACGGTGTACTTTCCGGCTCCATGTCGTTCGTCAACAAGGTCGTCTTGAGCACTTTGGGCTTCCATTTCCCGTGTTTCATCATGTTGTGTCAGATGGTAGGTGTCCATTTCTTTTACTCATAATATTATTTTTTTAGTCACAAACTTATTTGCTAGAGCAAAATATACGAAGGGGATTTTTTTAATTAAACAGCACCAGCCTTGAAGTTGGGGTTGGACTGACATTTTAACAGACTTAAGTCAATACAGATTATTTACACTGTTCCTCTATGGTTGCATAGAAGTTGCAGTAGGGCTGTTGCCTATTGATAATTACTATGTATCGATTTGAATATTCAACTTCAAGAAGGAAATTCAGTGTTAGGCTAGGTATATAACTTATAATAAAATAATGTTAATAAAAAGAAAATATATCAAGCTGTGTTTTTTTTAAATTTTGTGTGTGTGTGTAATATCCGAAATATCGTCAAAGTTTTAATCTAATTTAAAGTAAGTTCTATTCACTTTATTAGCAAGTTGGCTACTTTTTAAATTCTTCTTCATTTCCCTTTAGATTCTCACAGCATCTGTCTTCAAATGCCTTGGCATCTTAGGTCACCTCTGCCTCCCTCCAGCTACCTTCACCAACCTCAAGCTGTGCTGGCTGCCTTCCATCCTGGGTCTGTTCCACTCCGTTCTGTCTCTCCATGCCTTGGGCGGGATGAACGTGGCCATGTACACCATTCTCAAACGTTGCGTGCCACTGATGAATCTGTTGTTGACGCCATGTCTGCTGCAGAAGGGAGCACCTAGTCTGCCTGTGGTTGGGTCCGTCATGGTCATGACTGCAGGATGTGTGTTTACAGGTTTGTTCCTAAATAAAACCTTGAAGTTTTGATTTGGTGTCACCAAATTCAAATTAGAGTTGTGGTCGAAATTGGATTTGAATCATAATGTCTGATTCTGGATCCTGGAAGTCAACAGGTCTATTTTTAGGGTGGGAAGGGGGCTGTCGTTTTTTTACTCTTTTTTTTTGGCGAGCATACTTGCATTTGTCTAGTCAACAATTGTAACAGATGCAAAAGCCAATAAAATGCATGTTCTTTTTTAAATTAAAGCAACTGCTATATGCCAAGTGTAACACATAGTTTTAGGTGCTGTGATAAGTGTAACATATTGTGGCAAATACAGAGTCAGCATATTTATTTGAGCTAAATGTTCAGATTCTTCAGAACAAGAGTACAAACGACATTCAACTTTAGAGCGGTACACAACTGCATGCAAATCAACTGACTGTGTACTTATTTTCTGTCCCCATGCTTCATTTCTTCCTTGCAGGTCTTGGCGATTTGACCTTTGACCTTACAGCCTACACATTCGGCATGCTGAGTGTCTTCTCTCAATCCTTGTACCTAACGCTGGTTCAGAGCCTCAGCTCGCAGCACGAAACGCTATCAGCGGCCGACATCGCGTACCTCAACAGCCTCAACTGCATACCACTCTTGCTTCTCTACACAACAGCTACGTCCGAGTTCACCCAAATCTTGGATTTCCCAGATTTACATTCCATCAAGTTCCTTGTGGCATTTCTTGTGGTGATTTCCATGGGATGCGCTTTGAACTATTCAGTCTTTCTCTGCACCACCCTGACCTCTGCCCTCACGCTGAGCGTTGTGGGGGTCATGAAGAGTGTAGTGGTTGTGATTGTTGGGCTGTTCACCTTCGGTGGCGTGCAGCTCAGTGTGCTAGGCGGAATGGGCGTCACCTTGAACACGCTAGGGAGTGGCTGGTACACGTATGCAAAGTACCAGGAAAAGATCGGTAGTGTCAAGATGGAAGTGGAATCCGCAACTCAGGAGTTGGTTTCCGAGTTCACAATGGGCAATGGTCATTTGACAAACAACCAGGCTTTGACAGGCATAAAACTCACATAATAAATGCCTGCCATGTTATAAATGTAGAGGGCGCCCTATGACCTTCTCATGAGACATGAGGAAAGGCATATACACAAGGACTTTGGAATTCACCTTCACAGTTCTTATGCAATTTCTTTACGGGTTTTTCTGTGTTTTATACATGTATTTTTAAGCTTCTAACATGAGGTACAGATGAATATATTTTAATGTGTTCCAGAGTTTTTTTTTTAATTTGGAAATCTTGTAATTTCTTTAATTTTGATTCGAATTATTCTGTGTGCTTTGCCACTGCAATATCTGTGATTTTATTCAACTATGCAATTTATTTAAATTTTTAATTGAGTTAGTAATTAAGACTTATTATTCCACATTTGTCAGCACTTTTTTGTCAGTATTCAGATATATTCAGGATTTTATGTGAATAACTATTACTTTTCAATGTGCCATTGATCATTTGAAACGGCCCACCGTGCTGCTTGGATTTGAAGTTTCCACGAAGTTTTCAGATAGATAGGGTTTTATAATGAATCAGGTTGTAATATTGAACTTTATCATTCATATTCTTTGTCTTAAAAGATGTTCCAAAATGACTCACGAAGGAGCCGATTTTCTCCTTGCAGAAAATTTCTCACAATAACTTGTGCTTAGCGCAACTGTAATGAAATAAACCAAAAGTTTGCATAAAAAGAATCATCTACATGTAATTTTTGTTACTTGTCTCATATTAAAGTTCCTTCAAAGTTGAATCACCCATTTTGTTATTGATTTTTACATGACCAAGTTAAAACATTTTTCCAAGAAATAAAAATATCTAAGACAAAAATGACCGAGTTCATTTGTATGTGCAGGATGTCTTCATATTTTTCCTCGAAACGTTTGTGCCTTATATTATATAATTTACTTTTCACCTAAAAAAAGTCCCCTTTATAAAGTCATGGACATTTCATCACACGCATGTACACTTTCCAAACAAGATAAACACAAACCAGAATCAATCTACCCTTTAGAATTAATTTATTGCAAAAACCAAACTTGAAATGATTCAAGACACACTGACTGAAATACAAAAATACTAAAGTTACAAAGTTAAAGGCTAAGTATCTTTTTGAAATAAACACGCTGCACCATGACCTACAACAAAACATTAAGTATCATAGTCACATGTAAATGTGCATCACGTTTTCTGTGTAATTAATTAGTCATATGAAAATAGGAAAAAAGAATGTTCTATAATAAACCTTTCATAAAGCAAATTTACAGTCATTTTGCCAAACAAAAAAATAGTAATTATGTTGTTAAGTATTTCTACCCCCTTTCTGCTAGCTATGTACAGCTCTATTATGATGGGTCATAGTTCATGTACCTATTTCGTGCATGAAGTGTGCATCACTCTATGACGTGTTGTACCTTTTTTAAAATTTGAAACGATAACCCACTCCATTTTCTCCAATTTCTTCATTCAACTTTAATTTTTTTTTTTTTTTAATATGAATACAAAAACACGATTTACAGACTTTATTTCTTATTTTCATATTTCCATGCACTATTTCTCTGCAGGAATGTTTAGTCACTGTAACATTTCACAATAGTTGTTAGAAAATAGCTGCTATTGTTTACTTTCATATAAAAGCAAACAAACAAAAATCTTCCAGAACCATGAATAAACCACCAAAGCTGAAATCGGTGAGCATCTGGTCAAACAAACACACATAAACGGAAGAAATTTAAATATTTTTAAAGCAAAAAGACACATATTAACGGAAACTAGGAAATGATTTCAGATTACGTTTTACGAAGTTAACAAAATGGCATATCTTCCTTTTAAACCCTCAATTTGCCTATATGCTTTCTAAACTTTTTGTAACTGATTACAAGAGCGCAGACAAAACACTACTACATGTAGCTTTAAAGCAAGGAGTAAGTTCAGGCCAGGACCATTAGTTGACTAGTGGTTGGTTCGTGATGTAACCTACGCCTACGAACGCCTCTAGTCAAACGACAGTAAAAAGTCTGGCTCCTCGTTGTGCTTTATGATGCGCACAGCCATTGGTAACCAGTGATGCTACCATGCCCCGTGCTCCGGTTCGAAATAGTTGACTAGAGTAGCCCAACCATCCAACGTTCGAATGAAGTAAGTCGAATTACAGTAAACTATAGTCTGTGCCTGAACATGCTCCATTTTAAAGTTACATTATACATGTATGCAATCTACATACCACTACATGAAAATGTCTTTAAACAATCTGGACCCAAACAATGAAAAAAACTAACGAGCCAGACAAATTGCACAACACAGTACAGCTATGTTTACAATTGCCTTGAAATGCAATGTTGTACTTTGTTCGCATGTGTGCTATGTACTTAGGGTCAAAAGGCTCCCGTTAGAAAACCTGTGTAAACAAAGTACGGCAAAGTATTTCATCTTCAGCCGACTATTTGGTGCATATCTACACGTATTGAAAGACATTTTCTCTTCATTCCAAATTAGGACTGTTCTAAGTTTTTAACAAAATTCAGAAGCAGAGCTAGTAATATATACACCCATGTAACACTAAAGAAAATAATGAAGAATACAAGCAACAGGAAAAACTGCTGGCTGTGCACAAACTCTCCAAGAAGGAACATCGAACATTCATGACATTAAAATATTCCAACTGTTTGGCGATAATATAAGACAATAAGATCCCCTTACCAATGACACTTTTGTCATCAAATGACAGTCTTTGTCACGAATAACAAAGCTTGAGATCATGATTCGACAGCTGATGACAAAATCTGTCATGAAATGTCATTAACGGCATTGTCACGTTAAAGCAAATTTGACATCGGTGACAAGTCTGTCACAAAACAATAAAGCCTGTCACTAAATGCCACATGCTGATCATCAGTAATACGGCCTGTCAGTGACAATCAGTGACAAATGGTGGCTTGTCACTGATTGTCACACCCACTCGGTGACAGCCATCTAGAATTTGTAGTCCTTCGCTGCCTGGGAGTTGAGTGTCGGCATGGCCTCACTCAGATTCTGGTCCAACTTGTGGTAGCCATCATTGCTTCGGCTACGACGTCCGTCCCCAGTCCGCCCCTCAATGATGACAGCAATGATCTACAAACAAATAACAAATATCAATTTCAAAATACTTTTTTTCTTCAGAAATGGGATGCTCTTGTGAACTTGTAAGAGGCTCAAGAACTGTTGACTTTTTATAACACAGGCCTTTCCATTTCAAATTTCAATCTTTTTCAATGTGTGCTTGTCAATCACATGTCCTCAAGTCTGATGTCATGTCACAAGAAATTCAAATGAACTCTGACAAACTCATTCCTTGTCATTGTTCATGTCCTCTTGCATGATCTTACTTGTGGACGGACCGCTGATTGACCTTGATTGCCTTGTGACTGACTTGACAGAGTTGTTTAATGATTCCATCCAAGTCAATTAATGAGTTGCAGGGGATGAACAATGACAAAGGAATGCCTTTCAATAGCTTGTGACTTGACTTGGGACGAGGTGACTTGTGATGACTTGCAGTGACTTGTGACTGACTCTGTTACAACTCTGTGACTTGATGACAACTCGGACCATTTACAAGTCCAAACCAATAAAAAAGTTGTCAGTAGACCACTCACTGCCATCCACAGTTTCTGCTCCTTCTCGGGCTCATAGCTAGGTAGGGAAAATACGAGTGTATATTGTATGCACACTTACTTTTTGTTTGTTGTGGTACAGGATGTACGTAGCCATAATCAGCAGGATAGCAGTCAACGAGTACGCCATGAAGTGACTGCTCGATGTTTCCTTCTCGTATGCCAGGTCGTTACTGGGTATTCCTGCTATCACCTTGTTTCCAACATCCGCACTGACTGGTTTTGGAGGCCGTTCTGCTTCCTTCAGCCTCTCATCATTCACCCCCTCATCAGGATACTTTAAAAAAAAAGATGGTCAGACAAAACATTCAAATAAGGAGACCTTCAGACTTTTTCATTGATTTTCAAAAAACTTATAAATTTGAATAATGTTAATACTGCATTACTTAGTGTACATGTACATATACTTTGCAATAACTAATTCTCAGGGCACTTTTGCTCAGAGGGATATCGAATATTCCAAATTTAACATTGTGTGGGAACCAATGAAAATTCATTAGCCCAAATCCTTCATACACTACATGTACATGTAGGTTTGGGAACATTTTACAAGGAAGGCAAGCCACGCCACTGTTACAAATTCAAAGACTGTGCCACTGCCTTTCTGTAGAGTGCTACATGTAGATTAGAGAAGGATTCTGGAATGTGCATGGTCACAAAATTCTTCGGGAGATTGAGTTGACAACTCGGACTCTAACAACTTTGAAAATAATTTGTTTGTACCAACCTCATACTCTCCTTGAATGTCTTTAAATGTTTCACCCTCTGGGTTAAAGAAATCACCATCGACTTTCTCTCCATCCCTGGAGTCATCAGACTCTGAGCTGAAAGATGATTCCTCAGAGGCTTCTTGTTGCTTTCTGTCAGGTACCAAGCTTGGTTCGGCATCATCAGCTCCTGCTTGCTGTTCTTTCAGATCATTGTCACCTTTCAAGTCCATTCCTTGCTCATTTTGCTCAGAAACTTTCACTGGATTGTTAGAATCCAGACCAAGATTTTCTTGTGCTTTATAGCCTGGGTTCAGGTTATTTCCTGGCTGACCCCTATTTCCATTTGGATCTGGATATGGATTAGAGTTGTACCCAGTTTGACTACGGCTTCCTTGATCATAGCCATCGCCTGGGTTCAGGTTGTTTCCTGGTTGATCCCTAGTTCCATTTGGATCTGGATATGGATTAGAGTTGTACCCAGTTTGACTATGGCTTCCTTGTTCATAGCCATCGCCTGGGTTCAGGTTGTGTCCTGGTTGATCCCTATTTCCATTGGGATCTGGATATGGATTAGAGTTGTACCCAGTTTGACTACGGCTTCCTTGTTCATAGCCATAGCCTGGGTTCAGGTTGTTTCCTGGTTGATCCCTATTTCCATTTGGATCTGGATATGGATTAGAATTGTACCCAGTTTGACTACGGCTTCCTTGTTCATAGCCATAGCCTTGCTCCTGGTTGTTTCCTGGCTGACCCCTATTTCCATTGGGATCTGGATATGGATTAGAGTTGTACCCAGTTTGACTACGGCTTCCTTGGTCAGAGCCATGGACTGGGCTCAGGTTGTTTCCTGGCTGACCCCTATTTCCATTGGGATCTGGATATGGATTAGAGTTGTACCCAGTTTGACTTTGGCTTCCTTGGTCAGAGCCATGGACTGGGCTCAGGTTGTTTCCTGGCTGACCCCTATTTCCATTTGGATCTGGATATGGATTAGAATTGTACCCAGTTTGACTATGGCTTCCTTGTTCATAGCCATCGCCTGGGTTCAGGTTGTTTCCTGGTTGATCCCTATTTCCATTTGGATCTGGATATGGATTAGAATTGTACCCAGTTTGACTACGGCTTCCTTGTTCATAGCCATCGCCTGGGTTCAGGTTGTTTCCTGGTTGATCCCTATTTCCATTTGGATCTGGATATGGATTAGAATTGTACCCAGTTTGACTACGGCTTCCTTGTTCAAAGCCATAGCCTGGGTTCAGGTTGTTTCCTGGCTGACCCCTATTTCCATTGGGATCTGGATATGGATTAGAGTTGTACCCAGTTTGACTATGGCTTCCTTGTTCAGAGCCATCGCCTGGGTTCAGGTTGTTTCCTGGTTGATCCCCAACCTGGTTTTGATCAGGATTTTGTTGCCTCCCAGTGAAACCAGTGCTTCCTTTGGGGTTGTCTTTACCCCTGTTGCTTCCTGGCAGACCGTCATCTCCGACATTTCCTTTATATTGTTGACCTGAACTGTATGCATCTTGACCATCTTGTTTCAAGTTTTCTTGTCCATTCTCGCCATCATGTTCTGTGGTTCCTGTAGCAGCATTTACACCACCTTGACCTGTGGTTTCTTTTGCACCATTCTTACTATCTCGCTGTGGGACTTCTCGTCCATTCTCAACACCTTGACCTGTGGTTTCTTTGGCATAATTTGCAACATCTTGACCTGGGGTTTCTTTTGCAACAGTCTCACCATCTCGCTGTTGGACTTCTTGTCCATTCTCACCAACTTGACCTGTGGTTCCTTTGGCACCATTTTCAACATCTGGCTTTAGGACTTTTTGTCCATTCTCACCACCTTGACCTGTGGTCCCTACCGTCCCTTTGGCATCATATACACCACCTTGACCTGGGGTTTCTTTTGCACCACTTTCACCGTCTGGCTGTGGGACTTCATGTCCATTCTCACCATCTTGACCTGTGGTTTCTTTGGCATCATTTACACCATCTGTACCGGTATCTGGGGGTCCTTTTGCACCATTCTCACCATCTGGCTGTGGGACTTTACGTCCATTCTCACCATCTTGATCTGGGTTTTTCTCACCATTCTCACCAGTATGTCCGTTTCCTTCCCCGTATTTATCATCAGCTGGTACAACCCCAACACTGCTTTGTTCTTTGCTCTCTATTCCTCCATTAACTCCATTATTGGTGTCAGGTTCCAGTTTACCATCCCCAACGGTGTTTTCGGTACTTGTATGTCTGTCGCTGCCAACGTCTGTCTTGTCAACATTTGCTGGGACTTCGAGAGGTGTTGTTTGTTTACTGTCAGCGTTACCTTCCAGAAAATAAAAGGTTTTTAGTAATTTAGAATACTAAACACTATTCACAAGATGTAATTTGCATCAGGATGATGTAAAGCAATATTAGGTTTTGCCCTTCACCGACGTACATGTTACCTCCGGCTCCCGAACTGGAGGTTGTGGGTTCAAATCCCACACAAATGATTTTGTCCAACTTTCACTCAGGAGGTTACACACGAGTATAATGTGTGTATACATGGATGAAGGGCAAAACTAGTAATACTGATTTATAATAAACATGGTAAACAGTTAAACACAATCATCAGTGATCATGACAATAGGGGCCTACTCTTCAAATCCAGAAAAGCTGTACGTACATACACATGTTCAGTGAAACTTCACGTCCATCTTACCATCTAGATCTGGGTTTCTCTCACCCTTCTCACTAGTTTGTCCGTTTCCTTCCCCGTGTTTATCATCAGCTGGTACAACACCATCATTGCTTTGTTCTTTGATCTCTATTCCACCATCCACTCCATTTTTGGTGTAAGTTTTCAGTTTACCATCCCCAACGGTGTTTTCGGTACTTGTATGTCTGTCGCTGCCAACATCTGTCATGTCTGTCTTGTCAACATGTGCTGGGACTTCGAGAGGTGTTGTTTGTTTACTGTCAGCGTTACCTTCAAAAATAAATAAAAGGTTTTTAGTAATTTAGAATAATAAACACTATTCATAAGATGTAATTTGCAACAGGATGATGTAAAGCAATATTAGGTTTTGCCCTTCACCGACGTACATGTTATCTCTGGCTCCCGAACTGGAGGTCGTGGGTTCAAGTCCCACAAAAAATGATTTTGTCCAACTTTCACTCGGGAGGTTACACACTGAGTATACTGTGTTTACACATGTACATGTATACATGGATGAAGGGCAAAACTAGTAATACTGATTTATAATAAACAGTTAAACACAATCATCAGTGATCATGACAACCTGACAAAAGGGGCCTACTCTTCAAATCCAGAAAAGCTGTACATACACATGTACAGTTCTTTTTATTGTGGCCAACGATTTCCTTTGAATAATGTCAACTTTCAATTTCAACAAATTTTGAACCAAGAAGCAATACTAATTTGTTGGTTGTGGGGTTTGTGGGGGGGGGGGGGGGTATGCATGGACTATGTAATTAAAAAACCAAATCTTTCCAAAATTTACCTGCCATGCCTGGAACTGGTGGCTGATTGATGTAAGCCGTGTTTGGCAAGACTGGTGCAGCCACAACGACGGGTAACTCGGATACAGTAAGCAGTACGAATGCAGCCAACACTAAGCAACTACGTCTCACTTTACATGCTTTAACTCGATCCATTTTCATCATCATCAATGGCAGCGCCAATGTCGTCGTAACCAATAATGCAACGCCAACGTGGCGACAAAAAAAATCTGAAGAAACTCGCCTGCCTGTAAAAGGCTGTATGCTGCGTTCTGTCCCGATAAACACAACTCTTTTAGACGATAAAATGGTTAACTTTAAACCTCGATGTCCACGTTTCTGTGCATTTATTTGTTGCTTACGTGGCTGTTTTGTGTTGTAGAAAAATCACGCCCGTCCCAGCAAACAAATTGTGTTGCGATTTGTACTGAATGCGATCGATTTTTAGTTTCTACAGAGTAGAGCACTTCCGCCGCGCAGAGCGCCCTCTATGTTGCACTTTACACGTGACTTCTCACGTGACTCAACTCTCATCGCGATAATGCACATGACCAATAAATATACTTTCACGTACTTCGTTCATGTTGTTTTCGAATCGGTGTCCAAAATGTCTGTGCATTTCCTTGCCTTCTTGTCCATTCTTGCGTTTTCATCAGGAGGTGTTCTGGCAACATGTGGATACAAGGTAGGCATCACAGAACCCCCGTAACCCTTCAAAACAAGGCAGAACACTTACTTGCAGTGCGGCGCGTGTTTCCTTGAATTTTCCTGCCGCATCGAGCACCCGGCATGCCTGGTAGTGGTAGTGGTACGGTAGGCTGGGCGGCGAATTTTTTTCTCCCAACCGACATCCGCATATGGGTGTACACGCTATGGCGTTTTGGACTTTACTTTTCTAAAAACATGAGAAAAAATATAAAATTAATAAGACAAATATTTCGAACTTTATTTCCCTTTTTGAAAATTCCATCTTAACCATGTGTTAACTGTAAAAAGAAGATCCCTGAAGTGAAGATGGAAACTTTTGTTCGCACTAGTCATGCTAGTCATGCTACATGGGGTGTCGGACGCTTCGCCCCATTTCCACGTCGCCCCATGTCACTTCGCCCCTAACCACTTCGCCCCATCGCCGCTTCGCCCCATCCCCGCTTCGCCCCATCCCCGCTTCGCCCCATCCCCGCTTCGCCCCATCCCCGCTTCGCCCCATCCCCGCTTCGCCCCATCCCCGCTTCGCCCCATCCCCGCTTCGCCCCATCCCCGCTTTGCCCCATCCCCACTTCGCCCCATCCCCACTTCGCCCCATGTAGATTGGTTCCTCCAAGAGTGAAATTAGGATGTCAAAGGTATTGTCATTCTCTATAAGTGGGAGACGGGTTGGTATAGCCGGGTTGGGAACAAAGCTGGATCTTTTAGTTCATGCTTTTTTTCTCGGTAGGGGAGAGTGATAGCTTGAGAGGTTGGTTATGAATTGTTCATTTGGTGGGCTAATTCTTTCCGTTGGTAAGCAATTAGTGAATCTGTTGCAATTGTTTTTAAGCCAATAAAATACATGTAGATGAATTTTTTTTTTTTACATGTAACGGCTGGGGCGAAGTTGCGATGGGGCGAAGTGGGGATCGGGCGAAGTGGGAATGGGGCGAAGTGGGGATGGGGCGAAGTGGGGATGGGGCGATGTGGGGATGGGGCGAAGTGGTTAGGGGCGAAGTGACATGGGGCGACGTGGAAATGGGGCGAAGTGTCCGACATTCGCTACATGTAGTCATGCTAGTTGGAGCATGGAGCTATAGCTCCATAATCAGCTCCATGGTTGGAGCATACATCATGTACATGATGTATAATTAAAACAGCTTAAAGTTAAACCATGGTGCCGTTAACAACAATCAACACTTTGCATTTACTTCAAAACAAGATCTTTTCTTTGATTTTGTTTGGTAGTGGTACCCCGCTATGATTTTGCATGCTTGTGGCAAACTTTTTATCTCTTGAAACTAAATCATTGAATTTGATGTGCGCATGTGCAATTGAAATAGCAAAAGGCTTGTACTATTGGTACTTGGTACTTGGTTGGTTTCCTCCTGAAACATCCTCTAGGGATCTTGACTAGGAGGTCATTATGGACCTTCCTTATGTTCCTTCTTATTAATTGTTAATTTACATTCACATTTTCATGATTGTGAAATGTGAATGACCTCCTGATGTATTTCTTATTTTTCTTTTCTTTTTTCCACAAGGGCTGCCCAGCAACAGTTCCTGGCATGCTGAACGTTCATCTTGTGCCTCACACACACGATGACGTTGGCTGGCTCAAGACTGTAGACCAGTACTATTATGGCGGTATGTTGATTTGAGCCATTCACAATTCATGAAAACTACGGCCAATGCAAATTCCCATTGGTAATCTCCACAGTAGGTGGCAGTGGTACCGTGTGACATGCACCGTCCTCTGTGCACTGTGTAGTGGAGTGTGATGGCCTAGCGGTTAAGAACACCGGACTCACATTCTGGTGTTTCAGAGGCAACAGTGACGTGGGTTCGAGCCCGCAGGCGGACACTTGTGCTCTTAAGCAAGGCACTTAACCATTATTGCTTCGTCCTTCGGATGGGACGTTAAGCTGTAGGTCCCGCGTGTTGTGTAATGCACGTAAAAGAACCCAGCAAACACTCATCGCTAAGAGAAGGGGTTTGCCCTGGTGTTTCTGGCCTCCTGTATAAACTCCCACGTGGAGTATTTAGGAGAAGAACCAACCAACCAAGAACCAACCAACCAAGAGTCTACTCTATTCCAAATTTATTTTAAGAAAGAACAGATTGTGAATGTGGCAATCAGTTAATACACACATATGTAATACCACGAAACCCAACTGGAAAAAAATAAAATCAAGTCAAAGACTTCAAACCTTGCCAAATTAATAGATTCTCTGTGAATTTGATCATGTAGAGGTGGAACAAATTGTTAAGCCTTCAGGTACAATGTACATCAACATCAACACCAACTAGTGGTCACTGCAACAAATTATTTAAAGGGAATATAAATACAACATTTGTAAACATCAAAAAATAAAACTACCAAGTTGTTACGAAATACCTTACTAGAATGTTGGTAAATGACAGTCTAAAGCATCCTGTAAAATTATGGCACCAGGTGTGAAGTCATTTTCAAGAAAATTGTATTTTTGTATACATTTCCAACGGTGGTCGGCCGACCACCGTTGGAAAAACCTAACTATTTTTCAACTACTGCTCCAAATTTACCTTTTTTTCAGTCCAAATTTTGTTTGCCATTTGTTACATGTTCATTAACGGGTGCAGAGCAGCTAGACTGGTTCCCTTACCTTACAATTTTCTGGCATCTATAAATTGATCCATTTTATCTTTAGTGGAGTCAGGGAACCAGACTACTTGAACGTTTTTGTTTTTCTTAGTTTTTCCAGCATTTTCGAACACAAAATTTCAAACATATCAGTGTAACAATATTTGATCTATTATACTAACCCCTCAAATAGTTCATTTCTGAAAATTACAGCAAAAGCCAATGATGTACATTCCCTTTAAGCAGCGATGTAGGCTGGATGTACCAAATTATAGTTTTTCACACCGAATTGTTGACACCTGGAACAGTCTTCCAGAAGAAGTGGTCCAAGCTCCATCTACCAGTTCTTTTAAAAGCAATCTCTGATAATGTTTGGAAATTCTACAACTGCAAATTCATTCCAAGTTATTAATTATTTATTAATTTCTGCTGCTATTCTTTTCTGTTATTTCTATTCTGCAACAACTTGCCCTCTTTAAGTTAAGATCAGATTAGTTCTGACCAAGATTTGATGAGTCCTAAGCCCTAGGCTTCAACCATGTCAACTCGACCCTCAATTACAAGCAATATTACAAGCAAGATAACTAACCAAAATGAAGTTTCTTATCAATCCCCAGCTGATTTCTGGTAAGCAAGAAATGTTCTTAGATTTATTTCATCTTCAAGTCCATTAAGTCATGTCAGGAGCTTGCCTTTGCTCTTTTACTATTTGTCCTTTGTGCTCGTGAACTCAGAAAGATCCTGAATCAATTATTAATTATCCATGATGTTTTCTGCTAGACAAGAACAAAATTCAGAATGCCGGGGTACAGTACATCCTCGACACAGTCATTGCAGAGTTGGTTGAAGATCCCGCTAAACGCTTCATCTACGTGGAAATTGCGTTCTTCTCACGGTGGTGGAATGAGCAGACCGACAAAACGAAAGCTTTAGTCAAACAACTCGTCAATGAAGGTGAATACCAGCCTAGTTTCTTTGTACCTACATGTACATTTATTATATATTTATGTTTCTGTGTGGAGCCGAAGGTATTGGAATTGAAGGCCTCTGGGTCACAGTTTTTAGGTAAACTTTTTCACTTCCAGACATAGGCCTACATGCATGCCTCTGGTTTTCATTCTTGTTTGTTTGTACTTTGTGATTTATGTTGTTTGTTTGTTTTTATGTCGTGTAAATAATAATAATAATAACAGAATTTCATAAACTTTCTGACTCAGTGACTGACTGACCGTTTTTCAGTTGTGTGTCGGGCAGTGCTGTTGTACATGTTGTATAGGATTATCCCATAACACAAATGAATCTGCTAAATCCACACCATTGTGTAGACCAGAGACATTAAAAACGCTTCAAGTGAATAGCCATTCATTAGCAATCGAGTAGAATGTTGTGCACTTGCGACCAAGTTTGTCTCGTTTATTTAACGACAATATTTGTCAATAATCCAGGTCGTTTGGAGTTTGTCAACGGCGGTTGGTGCATGAATGACGAAGCGTCCACTCACTACAATGCCATCATTGATCAGATGACAGTTGGCTTGCGCTTCCTGAAGGAAAACTTTGGGGATTGCGGCAAGCCTCTGACGGCCTGGCAGATTGATCCTTTCGGTCACTCCAGGGAATATGCCTCACTGGTGGCTCAGGTAATAGTAAATGCTGTAGAGGGTGCCATCAAAATGTTGTCTGAGTATCACCCATTGTCTAGCGAAGCCCTCTCCGTAACCAAAATCTAATACAAATGTTATGCCACCCTGCGCGCCAACCAATCGAAGTCAGACTGAGAAATATGGACTAAGCTGTTGATTGGAAGCCATGTTTTTGTAAAACAACAGGTTATGGAAAGCCCAATGGTTATGAAAGGCGCTTGCTGAATGGTCACAACCTCTAGGTCGAGACGCAGTCATATTTTGCATAATTAATCGTTAAATCTGTTCGCATATCAAAGACTCTTGCCTGTGCAAGAGGATATTCCATAACATTAAAATGAGGGATACGTTGGAAATAATATAACATTAGTCTTGTGTATGCATGTTTTTGCTGAAAATTGTATTTTGGATTTTCTTAGATGGGATTTGATAGCTTGTACTTTGCACGTCTAGACTACCTCGACAAGGCCGAACGAATCAAGACGCACACCATGGAGAGAGTCTGGCATGCTTCCCCTAGCCTCGGAAAGACGGCAGACTTGTTCTTTGGAGCTCTGTACTATCACTACGGACCACCTCCAGGGTTCTGCTATGATGTCTACTGTGCTGACCCCCCGATCATGGTGAGTAAACTATTTAACTCTTCGTTATCAATTGCGTATTCTCTTGTATAATATGAGCCCAAGTTGATAGCTCTAATCATAGGCTTCTGCGATCTCTGCTCGGAAGCCAATTTGGTCATCCCTCACCATACCAGGAATACAGGGGACCATGCCTTCTCCGTTGCTGGGCCCCGAACATGGAACTCTCTGCCCATCACTATCCAGAATGCATGTTAACTTGAACAGTTTAAGGGACTCTTCAGAACATATTTGTTTTGATTTCATTTGTTCCCAATTCTGTTGCTTTGCTTACAGCGCTTTGAATCCTTTGGCAAAGTTGCTTTATAAATACCAGTTATTATTATGTTTTATTATTTGTTATGATAACCATTCTGTGTTCACAGCACATTAAATGCACAAATCATGTGAGTGCAAATTTGGGATCGGTACATTCAACATGTTCAAGGCAACATTCTACGCTGAACTGTTAAATGCGCTAACTTTTAATGCGCTAATTGTTGGTTGCTTCAGAATGTTATTGATCAATCGTGAAAAATCTGAAGAGAATCTTTAAAAACCTTGCACTCTGTAAATAAATGTGTCAAATGTACAGAACATGTTCAGCGTTGTTATAATTATAATGGTTTGTTCTTCGTTTGGTTTTATCTTTGCATGCAGGATGACCCAAATTTATTTGACTACAACGTCGACGAGAGAGTCGCTGAATTTGTCAGACTTGCCCAGGGACAGGTATACTTTAAATTGAAACAAAAATGGATGTTGAAGATAAACCTGATTATCTTTTACGCCTTGAATTTGTTTGTTATTTAATTTTGCTGGCCTTTCTTTTTGCTTAGAATGATGTGTACGGCACCAACCACATCATGTTCACCATGGGATCTGACTTCCAGTACAGTAACGCTCCCATGTGGTACAAAAACCTGGACAAACTCATCAAATATGTCAACGCAAAGGTCAGTATCAAGTACTCATGTCTCATTTTTAACTACTCATATTTGCCAAACTCCCCTTCAACTGCACCACTGCTCCCCGCCCCTTCCAGCCTGAGTACAGCCCGGGGTCATGGTGCGTGTGTTCTTGGGCAAGGCACTTTGTCACTCATTGCTTCTCTCCACCCAGGAGTAAATGGGTACCTGTGAGGGCAGAGATGGTTATTGTGATTGAATTAGCTTCCTTGCGCCTAACAGGCTGCATCGAGCTGTATACTCCCCAGGGAGCTGAGATGGTATTTCGAATGTTTCACGGGCCCAATGAGCAGGGGTAATAATGATGTAGCGCCTTGAGCACCAGTCCTGGTGGATACGAGGGCTTAATAAATACCCACTATTAATATTATTCCTTCTCGGCCATGCATGCTTAGATGTGGTTTTATATAAAGATAAACAGGAGGTTTTGAAACATTTTTGTTTTGGTCTTGTTTTTCTCTTCAAAGCAAAATGAAACTAAGGTTCATGCACTGTACTCCACCCCGTCCTGCTACACGTACAACTTGAATAAAGTGCCCAAGAGATGGTCCATCAAAAACGATGATTTCTTCCCGTATGCTGACGAACCTCACGCCTTCTGGACCGGTTATTTCACCAGCAGACCTGGGCTCAAGGGATATGTCCGAGAGACGAACAACTTTCTTCAGGTAATGCCTGCAATTCTTTTTCCTGTAGACCATTATCATGTTGCGGCCATCTTGATTTTTCCTATTCAAATCAACGTAACCAAAGCGAGGCTGGAAGGAAAATAGTCTGGTTCCTTTTTGCACACAAAAAAACATCATAACACAGGGAACATGACTGAAATGGTGGCAGCATGATAAAGGTCTATTCCTAATTGTTTTGTATACACGTCAAGCGGATTGATAGTGCTCATTAAATTGAAAGGAAAAACTGACTATATTCAGTTTTAATCATTTTTCACTTCAATTTTTGAATAAAGAAAACTGTCTGAAACGGGGTTCGCACCTGTAGCCTTTTGAATACAACTCCAGTGCTCTACCAACTGAGGTATTCAGCCCTTCAGAACCATATGAACTTGTCACATTCTGTGTTCAGAAATTGCTAGTAAAAAGTCACAAAACTGTACCATGGGCCCAATGGCCATGGATCCACACCCAAAGTCATGATTCCAGAAATATCATTTCTGTTGGAAACTTAACTTCTTTTCAATTTAAGCCAAGTATAATATCAAATTTCTTTGAATTTGTAGGTTTGCAAACAGTTGGAGGTGTGGGGCTCATTTCTACCCAACTTGAAGCTTCAAACAAATTCTAACATTCTAAGTAAGTATGATTGAAATTCAGATCTAAGCAAAGTGTTCACAGATTAGGAGCAAGCTTTTACACATTTTCAAATTTCCTATAAATAATGCTTCATTTTATAATGATTCATCATTTTGAAACTCTCTTCCAGGAAAGTTTATGGGTGTGGCTCAACATCATGACGCTGTATCGTAAGTCCATTCCAGAATTGTTGATCTACCAGTTTAATATTCAAAATGTTACAAATTACAATTGCAGATGTAAGTTGGTCATCAATGTCTGGTTAGATTTTTGGCAAGTAAAGGACACTTTCGTTGATTAAAGTGTGTTCTTGTGTTGAAATTTTGGATTTATTTATTGCCCTTCTTGGACAATAATGTTTAGCTGGATCATAGTGCAAAGAAGTACACACTGTCCCTCGTACTCTACAGTTCAAAGACAAGATCTTGACCAGTTTTAGTAATCGCAGTTTTTGGTCTGGTATCTCAGGCTATGTTTTTACTTTTGAGCGATTTGGATCTCTTTGAGGAATAAATACGGTTACTTATTTTTTTTCTGTGGTAGGGGAACGGAGAAACAGAATGTGTCTGATGATTACGCTGAGAGACTGTCCATAGGGAGAGCTGAATGCAAGGTGGGTCAGGGACTGGCTTAAAGCTTGGAATATTCCCATTTCCTTCGGAATGCATCCTTTGGAACACAGTCCAGCGAGAACAAGCGTCATTCCCAACTTCCTTCCTGGACAAAAAGTGTTTATTTTAAACACAAAATTAGGTCCCATTATTTTCCACTTTTGAAAGTTCACAGTTGATACGTCACTCTGAAATTTGTTGAATTTATGCAAATTGTTTCACCCCTTCGTAGGAACTTGTCAGTGATGTGCTTGGAAAACTTGTGCAGAAGAATAGTTCTGTGCCATCGCCGCAGTTTGTGTTCTGTGACTATCTGAACATCAGTGTGTGTCCTCTTACTGTGAACAATAAACAGGTAGGCTGTGGCTTAGATTAAAGGTAAAGATGTGTCTGGTTTGAGTGAAGTGAAATTGATTTGTCTCCTAACTTTTTCCGAGCTATCAGTATGGTAGTCAAGTCAAGTAACAGATGAAAATTAAAAAAATTAAAGGAGTGTTATTGTCACAGTTAATTCTAATGCCCTTTGACTTGACTTGAAACTGGATGATTGACCTTTGAGGACTTATGATGGACTCGACTACAACACAATTATTATTTTGTTCTATTTTATTTCCAGTTCACCATAACGGCTTATAATCCAATTGCACGTCAAGTCACAACTGTGGTCCGGATACCAGTGACAAGCAACTACAGTATTACTGGTCCTTCTGGGAAACCAGTTACCACACAGGTATTGTTAGTTAATCGTACACTATACCCTTTCCCTGTTGCCACTGTGTTTACTAATTTGTAGTATTTTAGACCTTTAATTTAACAAACAAAGCTTCTGTATTTTTTTTTTTTGACCACGAGGGTCAGCCAATTGTTCTCCAACTTACCGACTGACTGAGTCACTGTAGACTGACAGACTGAGTCACTGACTGACCTACTCCCCCCCCCCCCCGACTGACCGACAGACTGAGCCACAGACTGACTTAAATTGATCTTAAATTGCTAAAAAAAAAAGCTAAAAAAAAATGTTTTGCCCTTTTCTTTAGCAGTGATGGAACTTTTGTTACATTGCATTTTTTAACATACTCAGCTGCAAGACGTGTCTGAGGGTACGAAGCAAGTACGTCGTAATCGAGGCAGCGCACCCAAGGAGCTGCTGTTTCAAGTCACATTACCCCCTCTTGGGTTTCAGACCTACATTGCTGAGGCCTCCCAGGGAGGCGTGAAAGCACGCCGACATTCCCAAAGCCAGACTGAAGCATTCAAACCTAACGCAGACACAACCATTGAAAACCAGGTATAAAATTCATTTTGCAATTTTAACCAAGAATTGCATTTATAGGGATTTACCTACATTTACCAAATGTTCCCACACTGTGTTCTCCTGTTTAATTACAATACATCACATGTAATTACTGTTACAGATGAAGCACTTTAGATGGATCACAAGCTCATCACGACCCTGTCACAAGTCAATAACAACTCAATTCACAAGTGTAGTCACAAATCACTGGTTACGAACAATGATTAAAAAATGCCTATTCTTGTGACTTGACTTAGGTCTGGCAGGCTTGCGATTGACTTGTTTATACTTACGATGTCTTGTGATCCATAAAACCTAAACTATCTTCGTACAGAAGATTGAAGCATTTTTTTTCTTGTGTTCTTTTCCAACGTTAGTTCCTGAGTCTGACGTTTGACGGCTCCACAGGCCTTCTGAAGTCTATGACAGACAAGAAATCGCAGAAATCCACGTCTGTCCGACAGTCCTTCTACTGGTACACCAGCAGTATGGGTGATTTGAAGAGTTCCCAGAAGTCTGGTGCTTATATTTTCAGGCCGCTGATACAGACACCTACGGACCTGTTCAACGGGACATCCGTTGGCTTGACTGTCATAAAGGTATGATTTCTTAATACTTCTTGCATCCTTACCTGAGATTCATTTTTGCTAAGGATCTTTCTAGACCTTTCAACATATCCCATGGTGTACTGATGCCATATCCATTTCACTGGGAGTTTAAGTGTCATTAATTCCCGTGTAATAGTAAAACTCTACCTTCCTCGATTCTGCTTAATCTGTTCAAAGATCTAGCAGGGTCAGGTATAGATTATGTAAAGCTTGTTTCATATTTCTTTTAAGGGTAGAGTGGACCATTTGCAGCCAGCTAAAAAGTAACCGACCAATTATTGTTGAAAAGCTTGCTTGGTGTAAAGATAGTAATGAAACAAAACTCTCTGTGAAATAATTCTTTCTTGCATGCTGTCATTTTGAAGAAAACAATAAAAGAAGGTCATTTCCAAAGAGGCGTCAAGTGAAACATTTATGGAAATTTCTGTTGGTAGTTGGTTTGTACTTGGGCAAACCCATGAATGGATGCATGCAAGTGTTAACATGACACTCGTGCAAGCACGGTTGCTATTATTAGCGACAATCGTCAGTTCACAGTGTGTGACAGCACGTAGCTACAATCGGCTACATGAGAATCATGTCCCGAATGCTAATTTTGGGATTGTGTCACAAGGGGGCGCAATTCAAAATATGAAATCGAGATCCAAAATGTTGTGTTTTCTTGAAATATATATAGTATTCACAGAGCTAAAACTTCATCAGGTTAGTTGTTAAGCACCTGTCTTGAGATTTTGAGCAATTTTGTTGCTTGAAAAAAAAAATTCACAAATGGCAAATGGTCCATCCTACCTTTAAGCTATTCAAGCTATTAGTTATCAGTGATCTGTTGTGATGTTATTACTTTGTGAAATACAATTTGTTTTTAAGATGAACATACAAGTGCTAATATACAGATTTGTTCCACATGGACAGGGGCCGGTTGCCACGGAAGTTCGTCAGCAGTTCCAGCCATGGTTGAGTCAGGTTATCAGACTTTACAACAACAGAGAGTTTGCTGAGTTTGAGTGGACAGTTGGCCCTATTCCAATTAAGTGAGTACTGGGTCTCACTCTTAAAGTTATTGTTCTGTCTTCGTCCGTGTAGTTGTTGTCCTGTCCCCGGGAAAGGTACAAAAGCAGTGCTTCACCTTTTTCCTTTATGTTGACATCGTTTAATGTTTACACCAATTACATATCGTCTGTGAAGAATGTTTTGTTTACACATATTTTTTTTATTTTATACATATATGCATTTTCACTGAGGATGTCAATGTGAAAATAAATGTCGAATTGATCATGATTTGATTGGATTTGACTGTTTCATTTGAAGAGGAGAAAAGAAAATCCGAAGGACTGTGGCATACATGAGAAATTTAGAAATGCAGCCTAACAGTGAATGTAACCTTACCCAACTTACATCCAGTGAGACCTTAAACAAGACCAGGGCTGTACCTAAAGTCTCAGTTGAGAACACTTTTAAGAAGCAGGGACCCATCAGTCAGCGGTTCGGTTCCCGCAATTTCTTGGACCTGTGGGTCTAGCAAAAGGTAGCCGTCACTAGGCCTTTAAGTAGGAATGAGTAAAAGGCTAATTGTTCCCATTCCCTCCGTTATATTCAGGAGGGGACTAAAAATTGGGAAAGTATTCCATTGTATTCCTTTCTGTTTGAGCAGAGATCGTGTAGGGAAGGAGATTATCACCCGATTCGACACAGATCTACAGACCAACAGTACCTTCTACACGGATGCCAATGGCAGGCAAATCCTGCAGAGAATGTAAGTTGTTTTTCTGATGATTTGAAAAAAAAATTAAGAGACAAGAAAGAATAAAACACAAAGGGTTATGTAACTGAATCTTATTGAAACAAAGCATTGTTTTATTTCATTGATAGCCGGGATCATCGATTTGATTGGCAGTACAACAACACAGAGCCAGTGTCTGGGAACTACTACCCCATCAACAGCCGGGCATTTATCACGGTACAGAAACATAACATTTTAAGGATGTGACAAAACTCCATCTGTGGCAGGCTATTGGCCAAAATTTAATCAAAGATGGGCCATGTAAATGAAATCAGAAAATACAGACAGGCTTGGACAAAATTTGTATGATAAGTTACATGTACGTAGAATTTTTAGCTGACTTTGACGATGCAGCTTGGAAGTGAATTGCTAGGTGTCTGGTTTGAATCTCATATTAGTCATAATTGATTTGTGTAGCAGTTTTCAGTAGTGACGGGTTACAATAAAGATTTCCAAGATGATAAGTTATTTAAGTTTTTAAGTTGAGTTTGGTAGACGTTTTGGCATTTTAATTGTTCTTTCTTTAGGTTCAAGTCCAAGTCATTCATAATGTCTTTGAAATTTGCAGGACGACAAGATGCAGATGACGGTAATGACCGACAGGTCTCAAGGAGGTAGTAGTATGAAAGATGGTTCCCTGGAAATCATGGTAGGTCCAATAAAAATGGTCGGTTTTTTTTGGGGGGGGGGAGGCAAAATTGTGAGAGACTCTGAACTTCAAATAATGGCCTTCTCCTTGGTGACCCTCTTGTTAGCATCGACCACTCAGATTAGAATTTTAGGTAAGGTGACCAAAGTAGTTTGTTAAAAACTCGTTCACAGTCACTTTGAGAAATCGACGCAAACCAAACGTGGGCGGAGCTTGTGGGTGAATCCGGAATGGTCAATTAAACAATGTCTCCTACTTGATTGTCCAACCTTAGATTCACCGACGCACCCTGGGGGATGACCATCGCGGAGTTGGTGAGCCTCTGAATGAGACCGGTCAGTTTGGGGATGGTCTTATCGTCCGCGGCCAACATTTCGTCCTTTTTACCTCCGTTGACAAAGCTGCTGCAGCACACAGGCTGCTCGGAGAGGAACTGTATATGGCGCCCTCGCTGTCGTTCTCGCAGTGGGTGCCAGACTGGGCTACCAAATTCAATACAATGGTAGGTAGCGATTGGTTATTTTGCCATTTAAGTCACCCAAAACAAGGCTTTACTCTTTGTGTATGGTGAACTGATTTCTTGGTTTGATGCCGTAATGTTAATTAAGTTAATACAAGTATTTTTTTTTAACCTGAGTAAAAACAGTGCACCTTTATGTGCAGTTAACCATCTCTTTAAAATTTTGTTGTGCATTTCTAAGGGACCCTCAAAGCACTTCCGGGTTTTATGTTGATAAAAATGTCAAAGAGTCATTTTTGAAAAAAAAAAAATCAGTGTCATGCCTGTTTGTATATTCATTGCTAAACCAAACAGTCATTGGACAAACTTGCATCAAATTGCTACATTTGTATAAGTTTACAGTTTCTGCTTCTGAAATCTTTCTTCTTGTTGAACAGAAATCTATGGTGTCACGTTCGCTGCCGTCCAACGTTCATCTGCTGACGTTAGAAAGCTGGACGAACGGCAACATACTGATCCGAGCTGAAAACCAGTTTGCCATTGACGAAGATCCTGTGCTATCCCAAAAAGTCAAATTCCAACTGAAGGTAAATTTTTCCTGATTACAAATGAAAGTCTTTGGGTTTTTGTCCTTCAATGGAGAGAAATTTTCTGAAGTTTAACAGGACAGATACGTTATTTTTATTGAATTTGAGCTTCATGTTAATTTTTTAAAATGCTATTCTTACTGGGCTTCACCCTGGAATAAAGTTGTTGTGGATGCAAACAACTGTGGGAACCTTTAATATTTTGTACATCATAAGGTCTCTTCTCTTCTGCATAGAGCAGGTTGTAAAACAAAAGTCTTTTCCTTTTCTTTTTTTTTGCAGGGTTTATTTGAGCCGTTTGTTATCACCAATCTTGAAGAGATGACACTATCAGCCAATGAGCCACTAGCTGATGAGAAACGCTTGCAGTGGAACGTCACAGATAGCCCCTCCCCTACACCTCCAGGTATGATGTATGAAATGAAAGATACAACCTTAGTGAATTATGACCAAGACATCGCCAAAATGTGTCTCAGATAAAGAAAAATACTCACGCATTTGTGGACACATTTATAGAAATAATGATAAAATGACCTGATTTTTGGTTCTGTTAAAAAAGTTCTGCAGAGGCTTTGCAGTAGTTCTATTTTCCAGACTGAATGACAAACAAGTTGAAAATTGCACTTCCTCAAATTTGTTGCCTATGACTAACGGACCGTTGAGATTCGACTGGAGTGAAATAAAAACCATCTCAGTCAATCAATATATCCAGTAACCCTGTCAGTGACTAATGACAATTAGTCAGAAAGCTGTTCAGCCCCTTGCCGTAAAGTGATCTTTCCTGTAGTTGAAAAGTTCTCACCAATAGACAATTTGTAGATTGCTAATAGCAATCGGCCCATGGAGTTACGTCTGTTGCCTTTTTTTTTTTACTTTTCAGCTGTCAAGCCGGTACCCGTGCCACCTTCTACGCTGACTGTCTCCCTCAATCCTATGGAGATAAGGACCTTCATCGCCACTGTAAAACAAGCCAAAAATTAACAAAAACCCAATCGGAGGATATTGCGGAGTAATACTTTGACCTATATATTTACTAATATGAGAACAAATGGTACATTACATAGCTTCACTAGGTGACCTTCTTGTGTTTCTGTTTGTTCTGCCCGAAAGCCTGTACACATATACTGTTTTCTTGAGGCGAAGCTGAGAGAAAGTAGAATGGTCCATGGACAATACAGTTTGGGACTCCTTGATCATGTTGATTTGTCATTGTCTTACCCGCGGGGTCTCAGACCAAGATGGCTGAAGTTTTTTTTCTTTTAATTCACATGCCAATGCATGTATGGCTGCATCCGAATCAACTGTCTAGAGCTAGGTCTAGGTCCACGCCCATTGAAAATGTGCGGGGACGTGCTGACAATAGACGTAGCCGTAGCTCTGGAAGCCCGTTTCAGACACGGTCTTTGTTTATCCTTGATGAAGTATAATCTGTTTATTACTGAAGGCAACTTACAAAGTAATTTTTTGTTGTGTGACTAATGTGCTGCTGACTCGATGGTCTGGAGCATCAACTTCCAGATCTGTGGGTTTAAGTCCAGCCTGCGTGTGTCCTTGATAATTGAGCAACACCCTTTGCATGGTTGGTTCTCCCCCCCGCAAGGGGTAAAATTGGTACCTGTCAGGGCACAGGTGGTTAATTGGTTATGCATTGAGGAATGTTCCATGGGCCCTATGAGTAGGGGTAATTGTTATGTAAAGCAATTTGATCCTTGATGAAAGCACTACCGGTATATTTAAATACAAATTCATTAACTCATCGATATAACATTTAAATTTAAGAATCTTGATGATAATAAGAATTTGTAATCTGACCATTGTTATATTTTATTCATAATGCATAGCTGCTTCTTGTACTCTTGGCTGTGAAATTATCTAGATTGTTTAGTTTCCTGAAGGCAACTTCAGAAAGTTTTTTTATACAACTTAATTAATAATAATAATATAAAATTACCTTGATATAGTGCTTTCTACGGGTGTTTCAAAGCACTGTCTACTGTGTGAAGTATGTGTTTAACTGGGTTTTGAATGAGTTGATCAAGGGTGAGTCTTGGACGGGGGGGGGGGGGGGGGGGGGGGGGGGGGGGGGGGCTGTTCCAGAGTATAGGAGCAGCCACTGCAAATGCCTGCTGGCTGAATCAGTGTTGGTAGTGGGCTTTCGGAAAATTAAAGGTGTAGATTGGAGTGGGATCGCAGGTTGATGGATGATGTTCAAACCTTTGGACAGATGAGGTTGTTGAGTTATACAGGGGCAAGTCCATTTCTGGCTTTATAAGTAAGAAGAAGAGTTTTGAATTGAATTCATTTAAATATTCCTGTTGGAGCTGAAATATGAATGTGAACTCCAATAAAAAGTTTGTTTCATTCCCTGCCTGAAATTAAGACGCTGTTCTCATAACTACAATGTTTATTTTATGGCATTATGTATAATGTAGGCTTAAAAATGGTACATTACTTTTGCAGTTAGATTTTGAACTCTAAGAGGCAATTAAGGAGAGTGTTTTTAGAAATTCTTTTGTATAATTTTGCTGGAATTGCAAATGGAGTTGAAATATTAAAACTCAGTTACTCTTAGTTATTTCTTATAGTTGAAAAATTATGAATCCCCCCCCCTTTAGCAGTGCCTTCCCCAACAAGGGCATCATGGGATTGCAACATCTGCGTTTTCTCCTTGTATTCAGACATTTTCCCTCTTGTCAAAACCTCATCACATGTGCAAATTAAGTCAGGCCCCATCACATGTGCAAAGCGGTCCACCTTCTGCACCGTGCTCAAGTCAAAGAAATTAAAACTGCTGTTTATGTAGCCCCGCCCACCAACGGACGTTCACGTACGTACTGTCGTGCATGCAGTGTGCACGTCACGCAGGTGGAACTGGAAGTCATTTATGATAAAATATGCAACATGTACTTGGTGTTGGTCTTGTCAACGCGATTGTTACCAAAGTGGAGAGATTTCTTCCAAATTAACTAATTTCTGATGTACAATATGTGCATACATGGTGTCTTAATGTTCATATAATCACTTATTAATTATCTTATTGCAGACTAGCTCCGTTTGTATGGAAACATGAACTACATGTCGAATAAAATTTCCGTGAATTTTATAAACAGCATTTCATCACGCTACAAAGCGTCATGGGATTTCGTGATTTTTCCGTCATTTTTGGAGGGTAGGTGAGTAATTTTGGTGACATTTGATAAAGTTGGGATGTATTTTGGTATTTCATTTGCTTTTCTGTGTTATATTGGGGGCTAATTTGCTGTCCCGAATATGTAATTTGGTGTTAAATATGGTGGTTGGGATGACGTGTTTTGTGGCGTGACACTGACATGACTGACAAGAACTTAAGAAGCGCAGCACAGGCATGACAAGATGAGATTCCTTGACCGTTTGATGATGTAGTTGCGCTGCAGTAGTGTTTCATGACGTCTTCCAAAATAGTGGGGCAAACTAACAGTCATGACAGTGTATGATAAAGTCTGTAAATGTAGTTATATTGTGATTGGGATTGTGCCATCTAAATTCATGTCTTTTGAAAGTTTGTTTCTCTGCAATTTTGTGCATGATAAAATTTAAATAAAATTGGAAAACAAGGGCCTGTCATTTTTGTGGTGTTTGTGTGGGACAGGTTTATTTGAAATGACAGATTTTGGTCCTGCAGGCTGCAGAGTTTAGCCACACTTAGTTGAAACAGACTATTAATTAATGTCAAAACACGTTGAAAAATAAGAATTTTGTTCTTGAATTATTACACCACATGGACTCGTGGACTACGCAGTTTCAACATCTTCAAGAAAAAACTGGGAACTTGTACTACTAGTTCTGTAGATGAGTAAAATAAGCAGGAATGAATGTAGTATCCTGACGCCACCTCTTTGGTCGTGTACAAAGTCTATTGAGTGCATTTTCAAGGTATTTCCTAACAAAGTTGGACATTTTTGCAATTACTGACCTTCAAGGCTTCATTGAGAATATGTATACATGTATATGAAACCTCTTAATTTAGTTAAATCTACTTCCCAGTTTTTTCGTGAAGATAAATGGAATAGACTCAACCAATAAAAAGTGTTATTAAAAACTGGGAAATCATGACGAGTGTTTACGTTACATGTAGTCCATACAGTCTTAGTAACTAAACTTGTTATTTATCTTACAGATTGGTTTTATGAGAGAATGATTACTTTCTTTGCAAAGATGGCAGACATGCTTCGATGTTTCTGTTCAAGGTGACTCGATTTCAGATTTTACGGACAAAAGAGAGGCAGTATAAAGGTACCTGGCAAGCATGTCTGCCAAGGCAGACGTGTCCCTGACAAAAGGGAGTGCATCAAAAACCAAAAGATCCTTCATCTCCCGTTTGCCGTCCTTCCGTAAGAAGAAAACGCCGCCGCCACAGGAGTCGGAACTTGACATGCATTTAAAGAGTGCAAAAGAAGACCTGAACGGTGGTGTGAAGATACGGCCACCAAGTCAGGTCAAAAATCGTAAAGAGGACGAGGTGAAACGACGGTCTAAGACATCGTCAATTGTTGCGAGCTACGAGAAGCGGTTAAGCGATCTGAAAGACGAGGAGAATAGAACTAATGGGAAAAAGAACAAAGGAAAGTCAGCCACGCTTGGTAACCATGGCAACGGGAAGTCTGTTCAGGAAGGGAAGACGTCATCCAGGTTTGGCTTTGGGTTTACGTGGCAGAAAATCACCTCGATTGAAAACGGAACAACAAATGGCAAATCAGACTTGGGCAGAGGTAGCAATAATGGCGACGAACTGAATGCCAACATCAAAAATGGGAGTACAGGGTCTGGGCTTAGAGGTCACAGTTTGGACTTGAATTTACCCCACGGGTCACCGCCAGATCGGGAATCGACTAGCAGCGTTCGGACTCCAGAGAGCGATCGTAGTTCCGTCAGCTCAAACAGTAGTGCCAAAGTCTACGGGCAGCCCATGCCTTACCGAAGTGTCTTCAGTGACGAGCCGCGGGGGATCAAACGGCAAGCCAGCAGCAGCCAATCGGAAGGCTTGAACTCAAGCGGAATTAGCATGTCCAGATCCACCTCCCCGTTACACGATAGCACCAACAGTGGTGTGCCTCACGAAAGCTCGGATAACCGATCACAGTTGAACAGTACTTTCACAAAAGACAACAGCGCTGGGAATCTTAGCCCAGATGTTATAAACAGGACATTTCCGATTGAGGAATCTCCGACCTGCATCGTCAACAGGACATTCAAGCTAGAGCCGGCCGAGGATTGTGGCATCGCAAGTCAGAACTCTGAAACAACTGTCAAGGAGGAATTACCCAAGGCAGCCCCGGAGTTGGCCCAGAAGGAAAATCCAATTTCCTGTGGTGCTGTTGAGCCCTGCAGCAGCGCGGCAGTGGGGAAAGACTCGCATGACGTGTCAATCTCAGGCCAGTCAGAAGCCCAGTTGCAATCACTTGGTGAGGCCATGCCGCCAGAGCAGGACGCGTCCCGCCCCAGTGCTAGTCCGGCCCATAATATCCCAACCGAGATCAACTCCGCGGTCTACTCCCGCATCAAGACCTCGCGTCCGGGTGGCTACCTATCACCCAGACATCGGCAGCACTCTGGCACAATGGGTGGGATACAATCTACTGGGGATGCCTACTCAACCCCTGCGCGACCCCTTGACCTTGCTTTCCAGCTCCGCAAGCCTCACATCAGTGCGATCAAACACTGCTCCGAGTCGCTGGACTCGTGCGAGCTGGACTCGCTTTGCTCCGAAGACCTGATGTGCGACAGCAGGTACCTGGAGGACGACATGTTTGATACAAGGGACGAGTCGTCGTGTTTACTAAGCCGAAGCCTTAGCGTTGAGGAAACGGCAGCAATGTACCGAACCCAACATGTCTGTCCAACGACTGGTCGCGCAAGGGCTGTAAGCGTCGATCAAGCACAGTTGCAAGCAACCACTGGCAGTCTAGAAAAAAGGTGGGTGACTGGACAGGAAGTGCTTTTCAATTCTTTCTAATCTAATCAATCTTTTGAGATTAATAACTGGGCCAACTTGGTGGCTGCCCTTTTACTTTAGCCTCAACGAGTCGGGCGTTGTAATTACAGGACTAGACCTGTAGCCAGTTCTATTGGATGAGTAATTTGTCTGATAAAGTGAAAGTCATGTCAGTATTCCCAAAATCTGTGGTTTGTGAAAACACGCTGTGCCTGCTTTGTTTCTTTGATAATTTCTTTGGATTACAAGTCCGTGCCTTGTATGAAAAGACTAGTACGGTACATGTATATGTTCATGTACATATTTGTACAATGTACATACCACAAATTTATCAAAACAATTTTTGTCTAGCAGAACTTTATACATTCTTTCTTTGGTCATAAATTGCTGAACCAGAAAATTGGTTTGTCATGGTATTTACTTGGCTGCAGATAGTGCATAGGTTTTTTTGTTCTGCATGATGTGCAGTATTCAACTGCCCTCAGTGAGTAAAGCCTGCGCAAAAAAAAAATGGTACAGTTCATGGCCTTCAAGAAACAAAGTGATTGAATGTAGCAAAAGGTTGATGTTCACCTACG